GTGAGTACTCGCACATTCGTGAGCTATTAAGCTCATACATCTCCAAGACGCAGCGGGTATTGATCGCTGGTACGGGCACAAGTCGATTGCCAGCAGAAATGGCACTGGATGGCTACGCTGATGTGGTGGCAGTGGACTATGCAGCGAATGTGATTCAGAAAATGCAGACTCGCTCAACGGAGAATAACTGGGGCGTTAGCTTTGTAGAAGCAGATCTGACTCAGATGACGGACTGGGAGTCGAACTCTGTGGACTGTGTGATCGACAAGGGGTGTCTGGATGCGATGCTACTCAAGCGTGAGACGGACGCGGTTGATACCAATTGGAAGCTCGTGACACCAGATTCATCGGATGATCTGAGTGACGCCAGGAGCAGCATGCAGCAGCTGGCGCGTATCTTGAAACCCGACGGGTTGCTCTTCTTCCTGACGTTCGGTAGTCCCAGCAACCGAGTGAACATGTTCGACTGGGTGTCGTCAGATAGTGAAGACAGTATGGAATGGGAGATCCTGCAGTGTCTAGAGATGTCTCCGACGAGCGCTCAGCACTCGTTTGTCACTCGCTTCTACCTGTTTGTAGCAAGGAAGAAGCTCAAATAAGCTGTTAATGCCCACCTTGTATCAATAGATCGGATGCAGGATGCTTTCTAGCTTTATTCGAGTTCAAAACGGTACCTTCATACTCACTTACTCTTCGTCTTTCATGAGAGGCATGCAGCTCATTTCTGCGTATTCGCCTCCCAGTGTTCGCATCAGATCCTGCCACAATTCTGCACGAGCGTTGAGTGCAAGGGACACTGGAGCCTTCACAGCAACCCACGAGCCTTGTTGCAACTCAGAATCCAGTTGACCAGGAGACCAAGCAGACACGCCACTCATAAAAACCACGTCCGTCTGCTTGGCAGTCTCATCGTAAATCGCTCTAGCTGCTGCATCCAGATCCACGCCCACAAAGAGACTGGGGTCATTCGCCGTCGGGAAGTTGGTGGTGGGTACACGCTGGCCTCCAAAGTCCGCTCTGCCATGTAGAACCTGCTCATAACTCAAGTCAATTCTTTCAGCTCTTTAAACAGGCTGAATCTCGTTCTTACCTCTGCGTTCCTCGTAAATACTGGGCCTCCCTTCCGCACTGTGCTCGTTGCGAAAGCTCTTGTCACTCTTGACGGTACTTGGAATGCGCGCCCGAGTGGCTTCTCCGATATTTTATTGACGATAAATCCCTTGGATCCTTCCGGTCTGTGCTCTGTCAAAATGACCACCGAACGACTGAAAATCCCCTCCAGAAGTGGATGAGCGAGCAGAAATACACCCGACGCTGCATTCCTACACGATAGTCAATACTGTTTGAGTTTTCTTGTCCATATCTATAGCTGAATGTGAAGTCGTACTCTGCCAATTGCACGCCGTCGAGCGTCCATGTCTCGAGCGGCTTTTTGGTGGGCAATTCAAGAGCTTTAGCCTCTGCCAACGTGTCATTAAGCGCCCGAAGCGCCACGAACGCTGTGTCAATGCCATCAACGTCACCTGCGGGCTTGCGGAACTCCTCGCGCACGAGCTGCAACAGCGTGGGGCGCTGAGTATCCGGGAGGTACAAGTGACGACCACCGAGATAGCGCAGTAGCGAGCGGTTGAAGGCCTCTACGTGCGGCAAACGCGTCTTTGAGCCTGGAGCGAGCGATGATTCGCGCAGATCCGTCGATATTAGCGCTCGTAGCGACGCATGGCTGTCCAGGAGCTTCGCGGCGGTCACTAACTCTCGGTACAGCGCCCGAGGCAGGCTCATTGCGGTGGGTCGATAATGGAACGCGATGATTGGGCCAAATTGAGACGAGCAAAAAATTGAATACTGTGGATGCCCAATTTAGGGCATTCATCTTGGTCACCGGATGTGAATGGATTGTTGGCTGCTGCGATGGGAATCTCATCTTGGGACACAGCTTTGTCGCCCAACTGTCCTGCGATCGACGCGAACTGCGTTCTGGTGATCTCAGTCGGTAGCAATTGCGGCCGTCCGCGATGTTCGAGTCCGCTGCCGATACCGTTGGTTATGATTGCCTCAAATTCGCCAACGGCGAAGGTCGCGCTAGATAAGACGTTGCAACCTTGGTGTGGGTGGCCACGTAGAACACCGGTACGTAGAGCGCGGAAAAGTGTTCTATTTGGAATACACTGCTGACACCAAAAATCCTGGTGACTTTCAAACCTGAGGGTGTGAAATGAACTGAGTTACGTCCTGAAATTCTTGGCCAAGGTCTCGCCTGGCTCAGTCTGAGTCTCCTGTCGTTGAGTTTTGGCGTATTTGCAGGCTTCGACAGTTTCTCTTGTTGAAGTGGTTGTGACATCCGTCCTCGACGTCGTACAGAGATTTCGCACCTCCCTTACGAATACCCCGTTGTGTCTGCTGACGTATCAATGTGTCTAATTTGTCCATCAACCCTGTTTTGTTACCCCGTGCTTATATACCCGTCAAATCGCTTCAAGCATCCATCACTCATAACGAGAGGGACTTCTGTAAAAGCTCCGATTTGGAGCAATCATTTCAAGTGTTTTTCGGTAACACGAGATTGTACACTGCTGTTTACGCGGAGGTGCATAATATCAGTGGAGCACGATCGCAATCTCATGTCGGCCACGGTGCCATCGCGTGTGACTGTAGGAAGGAGACTGTGTGCGAGAGAGAGAGAGAGTCTTCATTCAAAGTTCATTGCACACCACACAGCGTTTGGAAATTGCGTTCATGTGCTTTTACTGTCATGCCAACAACAGTATTTCTGACGGTAGATCGAAACGGCCAAAAAAACAAATTCGTACGCCCGTCTCTAGCGCGTGGGGTGGAATAGGGCGCCTTTCCTAGACCTTTCTAAATACTTTTTCAGCCAATCATCTTCACTCTCGTAAACAAAGCCCTCTTTTTGCACCAATCCGCGCGCAGTGGAACGCAATCGGCGGCCATCATCGGCTTCAGTTCAAAGCTCATTTTCGGAAGAGCTGCACAGTTATCATTTTCCTGGCAGCCATGCAAGAAGACACTCGTATCGCTGCAATCCCGATGGATGATGACGACGACGAGTTAACTGAGTTCTACCCGCTAGACAGCTTGGACGAGGAGCCGCAGCCGCAGCGGCATTCAGAGGAAACGCCCGTCAGCAGCCGCCCCACGGTAGAGACTGTAACTAACGGACCGTGGACGACGTCCCGCGACCACGTCGCGCTGCAGTTCTTCTGGCAGTGTTACGACGCCTACGTGACGTGCAAGGACAAAGAGAGTGTGGCTCCATGCTTCTATAATGCACAGTGTGTCGGTCAATCCGCCGACAACGAGTTCGTGCAGATTGTGCCGGTGGATGAGGTACGCGAACGCCACATTCTGGACGATATGCGTGTCCAGCTCGTGTCTGTCAGCTCAGGTAAATATCTACGCGCCACACACGTGTCCAAATACCTGAAATGGTCTCGTACGCGCGACGAGCAGACCGTATTTGTGATCCAGATCGCCGACCGGAAGCCGCTCACTTCAAGTTCAAAATTCACATTAACTAGCTGCTTCTGGCCTGACCGCGCCGTCGGATTCACACAGACTTTCCCGCTTGGAGGCGGTCGAGAGGTGAATAAGGCCATTGGATTCCTGACACTTGAGAAGAGAAAGAATCAGGCCCCGCTATTGTTTCCTATCCGGTTCAGAGCAGTGTTACGCTCACAGCGAGACGATCGAGGGTCTTTGGTGGCCAGATTTCGACGGCCCACGCCGTTTGTGACTGCTACTGACATGTTGTTTATCGGCGAGGACGATGCGGACAGAGTGAGCGACATCCCATTGGCACGCGTGGCGTCCCCGCCATCCTCGGGCACTGGAGACCGCACGTCGGTCGGCGGTCGCCTGTCCGTGTCGGAGGAAGAGATCTGGGAGAATTGCACGTTCTGTAATGTTTTATTCCGTGCGCGTGGCGACCTCATTGCCCATATTCGCGATAGCCACGGCGAGATCCTGCATCGCGTGTCTGTCCCAGGAACTTTTTGCACGCGCTGCGGCACCCGGCGAGTCGATGACCGGTGCACGCGCTGCAACCAGGACGCCTAGAAGGAAGATAAGTGTTGAGAAACGGGAGGATATTTAAGCTGGAGTGCTAAGTTTTCGTGTCCTTCGTGACTTGCGATCATTCCTGTGGATGTATATTGTATTTGGCCGATATTAATAATGAAAAGTTTTTTATTCCGGTTTCGTTCATCATACTAGCAACAGACAGCATTTCAACAATTGCACCTTGCAGCATACACTCCGCGTTGCTGACAGGAAGTGGTTATGCATTTCCATTGAGCAAGTGGTTGCCGTCTCAGAAGGATCGCTAGCTAGCTCGTCGACACCTTCACCCAACAAGACCTGATACAACCGGTTTTTTGAAAATCCATTTATACAGGTAATTGCAAGTTTGAGACGATACAAACCTTTTCAATTTCCGTACCGATAATACGGAGATTCAATTATAGAGGCTCTTCTGATTACGTAAGGCTTTTGAAGCTCTTTTCATTTTTGTGGTCCACGATATTTCGATTTCTGAGGCCACACGGACGTGCGCCACCAGAAGTGAAAACGCCGAGCAAGTGACAATGGCCGAGAAGGAGTGCACCGTGAAAGTGACCGAGGGCCCCGTGTTGGGCAAGTCTGGCAAGAAGATCTGCTGCTCATGTCCGACCACCAAGCAGGCGCGTGACCTGTGCATCGTCAATAACGGCGAGGAGAACTGCAAGGACATCATCGAGGCGCACAAGGTCTGCCTGCGTAGCGAAGGCTTTACGGTCAAGTAAGCGAATAACTCTAGCACTAACAGCAACGCGCAGACATCCTGCTGCACGTATATATGAAAAACACGCGAGCGACAACAAGCGTTAATAATAATGCAACAGAGCGGCTGCTGCTCGTGATAAAGCACAAGGAAGTTTTGTTGGTTGGTTCGTTTGGGCTCTGCTGGCTCTTGTGCTGCTCTAGCATCACTGAACGATGTTACGTATCGGCACTAACGTCGTCTATAGCCCTTCCTCTTCGAGTGGAATGTAGCCTCGGCTAACATGGAGAACCATGCGATGCCGGTGGAACGGAATGTCCTTTTGCACGAACGACAGCGGCTGCGAACAGCGGAACAAGTTAGCTTTGAGCTCAATGCAAACAATCAATTCGTGTACGCACCTTGTTCAGAGAGAGATAGTCGGCAAACATGCACGAGAAGACGCCGCAATCGGATCCGTTGTTCTGCTGAGGCGTGTCAGGAGTGGTGGTCACCAGCTCCCACCCTTCGTCGTTGAATTTTTGCTTCTTCTTGTGCTCGGACTCGTCGTGTAAGTATCTAGCACGAAGGCAGTGAGCAACTGTAATAACACTAACATAACGATAGCCATGACTTACCTAAGGAGCACTTTAAGACATGCAGCGCCGCTTCCGTGCATTGAATCGTAGTACTGAATGCGCTTTTCTGTCATGTGGATGACAGCCATGCACCAGTGCATCTGTTAGTCACAAAATAACAAGAACTGTTAACCAATTGTAAGAGCGTCGTTACTCCAGTTGTGAAGAGCACTTACATTGCCAACATTCACTGGCATGAAAATCTTGTCCATTGCAAACAGGTCGATCTAACATAATCAGACAACTATGTTAACGGAGAACAGCAATAACAGGAGTGTTGTAGACAAAACCTACCTTCCGTGTCCATCGGCGGACGTTGATGAAGTTGTAGCCATTCTCCGACACCTTCGTATAGAAGAAAGAGTTGAAAAAGTGACTGCGCTTTGGCAGAACACCAGCCTTGACAAGAGCTTCATCACGATCACTTAGCATCTGGAAATAAAAGTTAATCACCTGCAATTTCACACCCACACGGTCAGTGGTTAAACTGCAGCTCATTTTGGCAGATTTGGATACAACATTGCAATACAAACCTCATCGTTCAACCACGTTCCCGGCAGCATGCACTGCAGATGACGACGTGTGATGTCCACGTTGTATTTATTGATGAGGACCTCCTCCATGGGACCTTCATGCAATGCGTTCTCGACAATCTCCAGGAGCTCTGGTGGTAGCTCTTTGTTGCGAGACTTCTCTTCTTCTTCATCAAACACATCTTCGGCAATATCGTATATATCTTCAAGTAGCACTTCCTCCAAAATCGTCTGTATACGCAGATATCCACATAGTCAGCATCAATGCAAGACCATCGCATAACACCACGTTACGAACATTTGCCTCCCGCTCCGCAAGACGGTTGTAGAACAGTAGATCTGCCTTCGACGTGCGCGACAAATGCTGAGCTCGGAGTATCTCTGTGAACAACACCAAAAAACATCAATAAACTTTCAAATACAAGTAATTTATCAAGCGCGAGCGCAACGGACCCTCCAACTCTGCAATTTCTTCTTCGCGAGACTTCGCCGTGATGCTAGTTTCATCCTTGCTACCATTAGCGGCAGTCGACAATGGCATCACAATCTTCTTATCCTCGTTGGTAGATTTCAATGCCTCAGTGTCCTCCTGTCACCATCCCAACCCATCAGTTTGACTACATACACATAATGCAGCATATTTTCCTACCTTTGTCTCATTGTCACTGGCAGTCCCAACGTCCTCGTCCTTGGAACTCTTGGGATGCTTGTGCTCTTCGTTAATCGGTCGCGTTGCCATCATTCCAATCCTAGCTATGTTGCCAATACGACGACGGTCTCTATTGTCATCGAGTTCGTTCTGTACCCTCCTCCAAATGGCCTGGTTACGCGATCTCTGCTCGCGGACGTGGTCCACCTTCTCAAAGACCACCTTCTGCTTCTTCTTGGGCGAATGACGATACCCCTCGCCGTCAAATTCCTCTAAACGCCTTCGGAACTTGTCAAAGCTGATCTGTTCCGGATCTGAGACCTCCAGACGCACTGACACTCCCGTGTAGAACGCCTGGTCGTCTAGCGGAGGTTTGAGCAGATCCACGGGGAAGTCCCGCTGCAAATTGTAACTGTGGCAAACCGCGTCCTTCACGCGGTGCTGATAGCGCCACTTATCCAGCGACACTTGTGTTTGCTGCTGTAGTAGTGTACATAATGCGTTAGTCCACAGCGAATGCATGAAGATAGCAGGATGCAGCGCACCATTCGGCTCTGAAGTTATGTCTCCCCTTTGGAATAAAGTGCAAATGTTTTACTATGATGACGAATGAGAGGTGTTGACTACTATGATATTCATGCAGACACGAAATATTACATTACGAACCAGAAAAATTAGGTTACTACGCTGCTTAGATAAAGTGTGCACACGAACATTCGCACACGCACGGGTACAACACTCACTACTTCATAGTTCCTTGGTGGCCGCAATGATGGCCGGATGCTCCAGCACTTGGTCCGCCGACAATCGATGACGTGGGTCCTTCTCCAGCAGCCCACGGATCAGCTCCTTGGTCTCTGCAGGGACGTCGTGCCACACAGGCAGCAGGAAAGACACAGGCTCAGCCTTAATGCGCCGCATCACTTCGTCTTCAGTGGAGCAGCCCGTGAGGTCGAACGGATGGCGGCCAGATATGAGGATGTACAGGATACATCCGAGCGCCCACATATCCATCGCTGACGTCATGTCCTGACACTCAAGGGCCTCTGGAGGCCAATAGCAACGAGTACCTGACAGTGTCGACGTGCGCGGTGACTCCGGCTGCGATGCCCGGCCAGCACAGCCGAAGTCGATAATCTTGAGCGTGACGTCCTCGGTATCATCATTTCCATGGCTTTTATTGTTATCATTGACGAGCGCCATGATGTTTTCAGGCTTGAGATCGCGGTGGACGATATCCTGTTGATGCATGAATTGCAGTGCACTGGCCAACTGTGACACAAGCTGTAGCGACCATGTGGCGTTTAGAGTGTGGTGTTTCTCCACGAACGAGTGAAGCGACGTGCCCGGCACGTATTCCACCACAATGTAGTGGAAATCGTTATGGTAGTACGATCCTTCGTAGCTCACAATGGTTTCGTGGCCGCCAGCACGTTCCAGCCGCTCCAATGCCATTTTCTCGCGCTCTACCTCCTCTGTGTTACCCGCAATTTCCTGCACCATTTTCACCGCCGCCACTCGACCAGTCTGCTTGTGCACGCATAGCATCACGACGCCAAATGTGCCACAACCCAGTAGTTTCTTCGGCTCATACTCAGTGTCAAAGTAGCTCGACATGCTGTCACCGTCGTCCTCACAAAAGTTGCAGCTGCCGCGTCGGACTAGAGACTCGTCGTCTCGGCTTTCACCTCCATCCTTCTCCAGTACTTCACACCGTGATTCGCTGCTTGTAAGGGCTGTGATGGCAGCTACCGCGCTGCCCACTGCCAGCTTGTTGCTCCAACTTCCAGCACTCTCCTCTCCTGCCGCGTGGCTCCATTGGCGCGAACAAAATCGCGTGGCATATTCTAAATCTCCACTTTCCGCGGCTAATACCAGATTCGCCTCCAGGTTCAGCCCGGTACGCGCTGGAACTCGCGCTAGCACTCCATTGCCGCCCGTCCGAAGCACGCGGCGAATGCAAACGCCAGCAGCCCGCATATTTTGATATTGTTATACCTCTTCAGTCCTGCTCAACCAGTTGAAGAATGATCTCACGCTCGCACTGGGTCTCGCTTGTTTCTATCTTCTCTCTTTTGCGCCTGCCTGAAGCGTCTCTAATGCACGCTTCCCTTCCCATCAACGTTTGAAATGACGCTTGAATCCGAAATCGGCTGTGTACCGTACGGTTTAGCCACTCCCCTTTTCCAGCAACCGTAACGGCTGTTTGTATGATAATCACTTGGGAGCTGCACCCTCTCGCAGCAACTGGTCTCGCAAAAGTGATGCCACATTTGATGTCGTTTCGAATTCCCGAACTTTCCTCTCCAAAAAATGTACCAGTAGATGATGTGGAGGATTTCTGTATTTCCGATAGATGCATCCAGAGGATAGATGGAGAAATTTTCGTTGTCTTGAATTCGTACATGCAGTGCATGTCATGCACTGTGCATGATGCACAGCGTGTAGTGGTGGCGGTGGTAAAGTATGCTTATGCATAGACACGGTGTTTTACAGAACAATCAAATATGTCACTTTTTCGAGGGAATCAAGTAGCAACAATGGCCGAACTTCGCATCTGCTCCGCCAAGCTGGAGGGCTTACCGCCGTTCCCGACTTGGAACGGAACGATTGCTGCGCCTCTCGAAGACGCGCGCGGACTCTGCAGCACACTGGGAGCAGACGGAGAGCTGGTGGTGCTGCAAAATGACAGGAGCGACGATGACAATCACAGCTGGTTGCGCATCCTGAAAGTGCTGCCTCCTGCAGTGGAGAAGTTTTCAAGCTTCTGCCAGTGCTGGACAAACGATGGAGCGATGATCGTAACGGCGCACGACTGTAGCGTGGTGCTCTACAACAGCAATGACTTCAAGGTGCTGGCAAAACTACAGCTGCAGTATACTGTGGCGTCCATGGATATCACAAAGAGATCCCAGACTGCAACAAGGAAAAGCGACGCATCTGAGATTCTGCTGATAGTGGGCAGTGCGTTCGGATGTTTCCTGTACAAAGTACTTTTGAGCAATGCCAGAGGCACTGGGGATACGGCAGAGCTGAAACCGGTTGCAAGAGTGCAAGATGGGGTTGCTGTGTGCTTGGTCAAGTTCTCGAGTGATGGCCACTATGCAGCCATGGGTACCATGGATGGTAGACTATTCTTACGAAGATTGGATTCCCATGAGGACGACGTACTAGCAACATTCGGGACCTGCGTATTGACCCGAGTACTCAAAGCACCACGGGTCACTAGCATGTGTTTCTCTGCCTGCAGTACGAAGCTCGTGGTGGCTACTAGGAAGGGCAATGTCTACGTATTTGTCTGTGCATCGGAGTCAGGAGAATGGCAGATGTTGCCAAGCTGCAAGCACCTCAGTGAGAATCCCAAGCCTAAAGCAGGTAGCGCCGCGGGTGTTAACAAGGTGGCCACTGCGGCGCAGACACTGGTGGCCTGTTGGGGTCCTGTGCTCGTGGTGTGTTCGCGTGCCGTTGCGTCACGGGTGGAAATGTACGACTTCGAGTCAGGCTACCTGCTGCACTCGCTGCAGCTTGCGTCAACGCCAGCAAATGCTGCGTTGAACGAATGGGTGGACCTGCAACTGGTCACGGGAGTTTTCAGCGTGCAACTAGCTTCAGCCAGCGGATACTCGTCAAGGCTGCTTTGTCACGACACCAGCGCCAATGTCGTCGTGGTAGAGTGGTCCTTCCTAGACGTTATCGCGCAGCGACGCTCTACCGTAGAGTTAACACTTGAAGGCTTCGATAAACTTCAATAGGTTCATTGGTGCACCCAATACATTCCGCGCCACCAACTCTCCCTGCTGCGGCATGGTCTAATCGTCTGGCGACGGCACCACGCAGACACGAGAAAGCACCGCATGAGACTTTGGAGGGCCTCCGGTTGGCTCTGCCAACGTCGCATTGTGCCATCCCTAGGTGAATCACCTGACGACGCCCCTACGGTGCTGCATTGGCGATCGGGAGCTTGTGTTATGATATTACGGGGCATCATCACCAGTCAGCTACTGCCACACAACCATGGATTTTTTCGAGATTTGGATGATTTATGCCTCATTTCAGCCAATTGCCGCCATATCATAAAATATTTCCGCCAATCCCCATCTCTCCGCGGTTTTCTTTGCGTCATTTTACTTGCGACACCCGCCTGAGTCGGCGTCTGTATGGCGGCTAGGAGCTAAGCTTAATTGTTCATTCCTCCATGGACGCCACCAAGCGACCAGCTCTGCCGCTGCTACTGGGCGGCGTGGCGCTATGCACGCTCGGCGCACTACCGCTACTAGAAGTTTGCTATGCGGTGCGACAGGTCAGTGCGTCCCCGGAGAAGCTGCAGGTGATACAGGCGCTCACTACAGTGGATAAGTTCGCCATCACGCTCAGCGCGCTATTGGCTGCTCTCGGAGGGGTTCTCCTCGCTCTTCATTGGGTTGAACTACCCGTCACTTCAGCACTTAAAGCTGCAAAGCTATTGACAATAACGCTCGCGGTTGCTGCGCTTGTGGACGCTGCATTGCTGACTTCAGTGGCTTCGCACCGAGGACCTGATACGCCCTGGAAGGCCGAGACCTACGCAGACCACGAAGGATTATTCGAACAGCAGGTGAACGATGTTTTCTGTCATGCTAAAGGGCTGCAAGTCTGCGAACTTGGTAGCGTAGCCGAGGCTCGACAGATCTTCCCACTTCAGGATTGGCCCGTAGATTCCGATCGCGCCCCGGGCAGACGAATTGCCACAAGCTGCGAAGGTTTTAAGGACGATGTGCAACTCTGGGACTACCAGAACAAAATGCAGTTGTGCAGACTTTGTGGCAATATTACTGCAGAAGAAGAGCAACTTCAAGTAAAGTTTGGAGCAGACCATACTGCTGAAGTATTAGCGGCCGTAGAGTTGCTAAGTTTTGGAGAGCTGCAGTGGTGTGGAGAGTACTTGGTGGCCAGAATACCAGATCATGATGTGGGTCATTCGCCTTATTGGAAACATCGGAGGGAGTTCCAGGTTCTCCTGGAGTATGATACGCCACCATGTAGTTTATTTTTCACGGTGAAGGTGCTGCAGCTGCTAGAGGTGGTGGCCAGCTTATGCTGCGTAGTGCTGGTGCGCTGGATCTGGACGCTGCAGACGTTGAAACTGGTGCAGTATAAAGATGGGGGAAAGATGGACGCCGCGTAGATGAGAGGAATGGATGTAAATAGGGCAGAAGTCAAGAGCGTTGCCGGCTTATTACGGCAGGTAGGTGACGGCACATAGCTAAATGAATGTAATTTATAAGGGTTTGTTAGCTACAGCGGGCTACTTGTTCAGGTCTTCTGCACAATCGAACACAACTTTTCCGCTGGGAAATCACGACTGACAACACAAAAAAAAGCGAGAAGTCCCCAAGGTTTTCTTGCATATATACTCAACCATGGATCGATGTTCCCCTACAAGTGTTTTAAAGATTTGACATACTTGTAAGAGATCTATGCTTACATAAAAGTACATGTGTGTGAAGGAGGCAAAGACATCGGCGGATGAGTTGAGTACAATGCAACATCGAAAACGAAAAGATGGTAATTCATTGGAATTCACCTAGCACGTTCGTAAGGACTGCAGCTACACAAAAGAAGAATGAAATCAATAGCTCCGTGCTTCTGCTCTCAGGCTGGTTTTCACCATGACCCGCCAACTCTACAGACTGCTGACTCCAGCACACATCTGGAAGAACGTCACTCGGATTCCACCAGCGCCACCGACCCATTCGAAGAATGGTTGGATTGGATTGCAGCCGCTTTTCGATGAGTGACAATGCTGCGAACGTATGAAAGAAAACAAATGTGCTGTTGCTGCCAGGGAGGTGAGGCTACTCACGACACTGGCGGCGGCGTGGAAGTTGTCCGTCCGCTGGGGGGAGATGTCTTGCCCTCCCCCGCCGTATTGGGATGTCCCTGCCAGGATCGGCTGAACGACGTCGAAGAGGTTGAACTGAACGGGATGGTTGAAGCCAGCAGGGAGATTAGCACCGTGCGGACACCCCAGTAAGCGCCAAGTGTCAAACTCCAAGACGGTGTTGTTGTCGATAGTCGTGGGCTTCAAATAGCCGATGTACGATGGAATCCAAGGGATACTCACAGACGTTGAGTTCCGGGCTGATGTGAATGCAGAGAACGTATTACACGCCTGGACATTGTCGCCACGCATTGGCCTTGAAGTCTAACCCACCTTCTGTCTGCCAGGTTTGGCAAATCCCAACATCCACTTTCAGCGTGTGGAACCCACCTCAAAACGATGTGGAACCTCTACTCCAGCAAGGTCGTTGCGAGGACCAGAGCTGGTGTCTGGCTCAAGAGCGGCAACGTTGGCACGCAAAAAAGCTTCATGGTTTCCAATGAAACTCGCCCCTCTAGACACCAAGTGGTTCTGACCCGTTCCGGTTGCATTTATCATCGCGTCCACGAATGCCCATACCAACGCCTTCGTGTAGACCACCCCTCAACTCGACAATGAGGATCCTATCGTCGAGCCACACCATCCAACGGGACCGCATCGATTGCTGCTCGGACTGGACGTAGCGGTTCCAGTCGGCTTGGGTCGCATCGCACAGCTCGAACGTGACCCCGTCGCTGCCGTCGGGGAGGGGGTTAGCGAATTCTCAACTTGGCTCCGGTCGAGATGGCGGATAGCGTCGTTGATTCCGCCATGTTTCTCACCGGAAGGGCGGGCCAAACCTTACCATACATTCTTGCGGCGCGTCCCAGACAGAGAATACGCCATACTAGTCCATCTTCTGCTTGTTAAAATAAATACTGCTACTGCTTCAAGTCAACGTTGAATTTCCAATACAAAAATCAAGTTATTTGGATCTGGATCATCGTTAGGTGGAATACCAACTGTCCATTGTATTCACTGCTAGCTGCTGTCTGTCTAGATGAGGTTCTGCAGCTCCACCTCGTGTCTCGCCAACTCCCTCAGCATAGGTTCATCAAAGTACTTGCTGACGTTCACGTCCTCACTCAGTCCCTTGCGACGTCGAGTCTTGACCATGAACTCTCGAGCCAAATCGTTCACCGGTGCAGGTTCCAGTGGTCGAAGCACAACGCTCGTGTCCAGTGGATCACCCGGTACCACCGCCCAATGATCAAACACTTGAGTGAGGAAAGCTTGGCCCTGTGTGAACACTCGCAGATCCGTCTCGAGTCCGAACGACTCGATCACCGGCACGAAGCCTCGCACTGTATACAGCGGCGAACCTGCCTTGGGAGCATCGTGCGTGATGTGTCCACGCCTACGACTCAGCACCTGATAAAGCGACGACACTGTGTCAGCAGGACACTGGATTTCCAGTGCATACATAGGCTCCAACATCCTCGGAGTGGCAGTCAGGAAAGCCGAGTAAGCCACACGACGGGACGTCGGGATCACTTGTCCACCACCGCGATGAATCGGCTCGGACGCAATGGTAGCGTCCAGGATCTTGAACTTGGTATTACGGATGGGTTCGTCACACAACGGACCTTCGCGACAGCTCCATTGGAAACCCTGTACAATACTGTCCTTGATCATATTCAGCGAAGACTTGTTCACTTCAGTAGCCAGCGTATCGTCCAGCAAGACGTTCGGCCCATTGCTTTCCGGTCCAAAGGCCCATACGGAGCGAGCAGCGAGCGCGTCCCATTTGTAGTTGGTCTGGAAGAAACTAGCGACTTGTTTCTTGCCCATGTCGAGGTTAATAGCACCTGACTCAATGTCCTGCGCTAGACCAGCGTCCAAAGGCTCGGAGATCATCGTGATCTTGTTCTTCTGGTTAGGTGTCTCGGCAAAGCACTGGACCGAAGAGGTCTCGGCCACAGTCTCGCAGAAGGCCACAACAGGGTCAGCTACCTTGATCTCAATCTCCGAGTACATCCTTCTCAAGTCATGCAAGATACAGTCCGCTGCCAGCTCTCCAGTGCACAGAATCACATGCTCTCCACTCTCTTCCACTTTCGTTCGTACAAGTGGATAACTCTTGCTGATTTTCCGCAAACCTTCGAGCATCTTCGGTAGTTCTGCAGGGTTTAATGGTTCCACAGCGAGCTTCATCACTGCGGTAGTGCCAAACGCGATGTGAATAGGTCGGAAGATCCCCACTTCTTCGTCTTGTAAGAGGTCTTCGTCTGCATCGGTGATGGTGGCGCTCTTGGTGATCGAAGCGTCCACTCCTTCAAGTAAGACCCAGTTACCTGCCGGGATACGGTTCACCTGAATCTTGTAGCGTCCTTGAGCAATGCACACGCCTTCAATTGTCCGCGTGCACATATCTTCGTCGTCTTCAGCGCTGTATGCCTCTCCCAACACTTTAACGTCCTTGGTCTCACGAACTTCACCGGAATACACGCGGCCGAATGCGCTAAACGTCGTGCCGTCAGGAGACGAGTACAGCTTGACAATGTTGACCATCAAAGGCGCATTGGAGTCGCACGACTGGATTCCTCGCACAATACTCAGCTCAGCGTTCTGGTTGCCAGTGTAAATAGTCTCCAGTTTGGTCTTCGCTGTCACAAGCGGCGAGGGCACGTGAGTCACCACCATATCCATAAACCCCGTCGTCACATTGCCGAAGAATTTGCCCAGAACAAGTTTAAGCAGCGGACGAGGGTTCAGGTTCAATTCTTCCTTTCTCAAGCGTAATCCCATGGCACGCAGCGACGCCGAGAGCTCCTTAGGGTCTCCGTTCAACACCTTCGAGTACATTTTGTACAGCGGCTCCAGTACGAACTGGATGAATGACCGCAATGCACCAGGATATGGCTACAAAATGCCAGAAAACAGGAACCGTTAAGCACAAATTATACAGTAAAAAATCCCGCAAAACTCACCGATTTCTTCGTGAATGTGCGTGTCTGTGGGTTAAAGTACTTGTCGCCCCAGAACCTCTTGGCCAGCTCCGACGAAGGCACTCCAGGGTACGTCTCCGCGTAGATTTGAGCGAACGACTCGAGCGTAAAGCTCCATCCATGTTGACCCGAGGCAAAGCACACATTGCCCAGCTCTGGTGACACGCGCTGTTTCTCCTGGTTCGCTGGCGTATTCGCGTCAATTACAGCATTAATCTCCTCAATCGTATGCAGTAGCTTGAAGTACGCGTCGGCAGGTGGCAGTTTGAGCTCAATAATGAGTCTGTCCACCTTGTTGAGCACCAATACAATGGCTACGTTGGCTCTCAATGCCGCCTTCACCAGTCTCTCCGTCTACAATAAAAAAAAAATCAGTCATCACATTATAAAAAAAAAAAGCATAAAAACAGCCCACTTTACGTTCATCATGACGCCCTCAATAGCGTCCACCACGATCACCGCTCCGTCCGCCACTTGGAGAGCTGCGGTGGTCTCGTCCGAGAAGTTGACGTGGCCAGGACAGTCCAATACATTGAGCAAGTAATGTTTCCCTCTAGATGTGGGCAGCACGAGCGACACTGGTGCACTCTTGATGGAGACTTTGCGCTCCTGCTCGTCCTTCCTGGTGTCTGTGTATCGTTTCTCAACTGCAGGATCCCACTTGTCCACGTGAGTCTGTTGCACTAGCAGGTCTGTAAACAGCGTTTTGCCATGGTGAAGGTCTCCGAGGACCGCTACGTGGCGGATGAGCTGCGGGTGGTCCATTAAACTGGTAAGGAACTGGGTCGAATAGGTCGTTCGAGGGATTTTCTGCTCCAAAACGGAGAAACTTTTGGTCTTAACGGGTTCGATGATGGGCTTTTCGATGGGCTGGGCATCTTCCTCCATTACGAGCGTCTCGGCGTCCCCGTACACGTCGCTGGCATCGGGGTAATACTGTTTATCCTCGTGGAGGACGATAGCGTTGTCCTCGTCATTGTGAAGCGCCAGAGCATCCACTTGACGACCTGCATCGTCCACCTCTGGCTCACTCTCGTGGTCGCTAGCTGCATCACTTTCCGAGCCGGACGAGGACTCGTCCTCGCTGCTATGAAGCTCCGGACCGATGTAGTTACCGAACTCGTCGTATAGAGACTCCTCCATTTTTGGATAATGGGGTGAATGGATTAGAGGATACGGATCTTCATTGGTCAAAAAGAAAATAATAAGAACTATTGATTGGCCGAAAATAAAATGACGTGGTGGACGCACGTGGACGTATTTGGAGGACATTTTTTATTTCTACTACAGCTAGAATTCTAGACAGCACTCTGCTTCTGCGAGTTGTGCTGTCGCGTTGGGGATGTAGAAATTGGAGCGGCGCTGAGTCTTAATCTTGGACGTTGAAGTGCTGGTTGTCTGGATGGAGCCATAGTGCAGCGTTGGTTGTCTGGATAAAAGTTGAGAGGTCTCAGTACGAGGCAGAGGTGTCTTCTTCTGGAGCTTCCAGACGTGAACAGAGCCGTCGACAGCGCCAGACACAATAATTGATCCAGAGCTACTGACAGCAAGAGAGCTGATGCTCGCGTCATGAGCTTGAGGGATTTCGTAGACGAGTTCAGTACCTGCTTGTTCGTGTAACTTCCAGAAGAGAATCTTGCCGGCAGTGGTGCCTCCCACCGCATACTTGCCATCACTATCGAAGCAGCGCACTTGGCCTGCTGTACGGATATCCATACTCCAGAGTTTTTCACCGCGGATATTGAACTGGATCAACTCGCTCTGCACAGTCGCACAGACGTACGATTTGTTGTCTTGGGCGAAGGCAATGGACGAGATGCCACCCTCATGCTTAGACGCTTGAATTTTGCTGTGAAAGACTGCTCTACTCAGGTTGAACAGATATACCGATCCATTTCGAGTTCCTGCAGCGCAAAAGCGGCCATCGCGACTGACGTCCAAGCACAACACAGACTCTTCGCAATCAAGGAATATTCGGATAGGAGTAGCCACAATGAATCGCGACGTATACCGCCAGAGTTTAATACTCGAATCCCACGAACTCGTGACGAAGCGGTCCTGAAGCACACGGATAGCTGAGATCCCATCCGAATGAGCGAATACTTTGTCTAATACCAGTCCAGTTGAGGTCGAGTGCATGTATACGCTGTTGTCCCATGACCCAACAAGCACAACGCTCTCGTCTGGCGAGATATCGCAGCAGGACAAGGCAAAGTTGCCAGAAACATCACGATATTGAGCCACGTCTTGAGTGGAAGAAAGCTTTAGCGTTTTGTCCTTGCTTGTCGTCCATAGAAACGAATTGTCTTTCGAGAGAATAGTACTTGTGACTTCCCCTTTGTGCAACTGACACTTGGAGATCTGCTTCCAACTCCAGGAGGTTGATAAACTGTACTTGGTCCTTAGCCTGGATGTCCATCTCCAATTCTTGGGTGGTTTCCCTGAGCTTATACTGCCCCACAAGTGCGTAGATAACCCTTCAATAGCCTTCGGAAGGCGATTCCACGAGCTCTGGCAACACACAAGACTGTACCGATGTCGAGTTCTCTGATAGGGACTCAAATCATCCTCAGTTTCATCTTCAGACTCGGTGTAGTCCTCGAATGCACTAAATGCGAACTCTTTCCGTTGCTGAAGACGAAAATCGGACGCGCTATTAGCAGGAATTGAGACTCTGCGGACATGAGGAACCACAACTCGTGGTGACAGGAGTAAGTCTGGAGTAGCCACCTCAATCTTCCCTTCGCCCTCATTGCGTGACGGATGAGGCGTAGAGAACAACAGCTTCGGTGTCTGGCCAAACTCTTGGATCTGCGATTCCAGCGAACTTTTCTGTACTGGATCATCGATCGTTTCCAAGTCGACTGATCCCTCGTAAGATAAATAGTAAAATACTGGAATCAACAACACATGTGGTTAATATACAACCGGCAGTCAGAATTCGAGTGAACAAGTACGTACAGTTATTGGCCTTCACAGCGTCGTCGCCTTGCTGCTTGTAGCCAAAGATCAAATCAATCCAGTGGTGCAGATTTTCTGACACGTAATCACTCTCGAGTGCAGCGCGGTTCTTCCGAACAAATTCTATTGGATCCCCATGTGCCCAGGGCGGGAGCTCCACGTCGTCTACTCGGTCGAAATTCTGCGTAGTTCCCAGATCGAGATGCTTATGATTCTTCAGCCATTCATCTGCTGGCAGCGTGCAGTCAAAGAACTCGGGAATGAGTTCCTTCACATCGGTATGATTGGACACACAACCGTCCCAAGTCACCTTGATACTACGGAACAGGCGGTCCGGAGCATCAAACTTGCCACTCTGAAGACACAACATGCACTCCGGAACTTTCCGAACCAGGAAATATAGCACGTAACCGGGAGTGGAGTAGTGAGTACCATACAAAAACGGCGGCGGCATTCCTTCAGCTTCGTCGCCACGAGGCATCACTTCGTATCTTGCTTTGAAATACTCGAGACGTTCTTCATTCAGCGCCCCGACAGGTTTCGAGAGGTCTCGGAACACTTTCGGATCGCCCAGATTGAGGTCCGAATTCGTATAGTCACTCAGAATCCATGGGAAAACCGGGTATTGGGTCAGATCATTGCGAGTCCGACCTGACGCATTATTCAAGAATTTCAAGTATTCAAAATTTGAGAGTTCTCGACGTTGCCACTTGCGCATCATATACTGCAGATCTTTACGACGACAGCGTTGCAGCTCTGGCTGGCCCACCATGAGGGCGTAGAAGTCATCACGTTCTTTTCGAGTTTGAAACGAGAAGAAAAAGCTGTCGCCATTTTGTAAGTAAATTTCCAGTCCGATCTGTTGCAGCAAGTAGCGGCGCTTGTAGACTTGATCGATGTTGGTATATTCCCAGTTGAGTACTGGATCAAACACGTTGTTGAGCGATGATGGCTGGAAATACAGACGCAACGTTGTCAGCATAAGACAACCGGGAAACTTGAGCAGTGGCTCGATGCGGTTCGCTACACACCCCGTTTCCATCAGCAATCTTTCACGAAAATCAATCAACAAACTCGGATCGAACTTGTCTGTCATCCTGGGTGCCAGAACTGGAGCTAGAAGTGTTTCTTCCTCTGTTTTAATGAGCATTCGTCGTGGCAAATTGGACACTTCGAAGATAACGTGAATACTTGCGAGAAATGCCTCGTACGCCACATGTTGCAGTGTGAAAATGTACTTGGCCGGCATTTCCCCGTTCAAACTGCTACTGCTGTTGCTTCGGATTTCGCTGTTAGGAACTTCAATTCCTTCTGTTGTATCCTTGTAGATGTATGGGTGGTCGATGCCTCGTTCTCGCATTTCAATTACTTGTTTCGTCTGGAACGTCAAATATAATAATGGTGTTTCCTCGGTCTCAGTACCAGGGGCTTCTGAAATTGATGAAGGTTGCAAAAAGCACTCAGTCACAGGCTCAGATACCATACAGCGGAATGGGAAGCGTAGAATTGGCAATAGAAGATCATGAGGCACGAAAAATAATCCACGAGTACACACTTTGATCCTGCCGGATACTTTGCGGTGCGTGAAGGCGCTCGGCTCCAAATATCGGCACGCACTGTGATCCTGTTGGTGCAACGTTAGCAACTTCAACTCGGATCTCAAAGTTTATACTCGATATAAATTGAAAGAAACCACGTACGTCCAGGAAGAACTCGCCGTCCTCGAGCAGCAGCAGACTGAAGCGCGTCGTCTGGGCATTCTTGTTGCTGCGACGCCGTCTATGCATGATGGATATCCCCTTTCGTGTGTCTTGAGGCGCTTGAGATCGAGCAGGGGGCGATGAGTCCGTACCCACCGTAATTAGGATGGATTGTCTATATTGATATTCTTTACGAATGGCGGGGATTCAGTGCCAGCTTGAAGAAATCGGCAAAGCTGTTGAAAATTGTTATCGAGTTACCAGTGACTCGATCTCGATGAATGACTACTTCTTATTTACTTGTTTACTTATTTCTCCCTAGAGAAAACAATTATATGTTTTTGGATACATGCAATGGTACCCGGCGGCAGGTAGACTGCACTGCCTTCTCAACAAACGGCAGTGCAACTATTCCTCCTGTCCGACTCGACGGATCCCAAAGTGGCGATCTCATGCATTTCCTCCTCCGGTTCGACTTCAGGTACTGGAGGCAACATACACGTAGGTGCAGTCGGAGCCGAGCTCGAGCGCGATCGGAGTGGGGGCGTGTTATTGTTGCATTCCCCCTCCCCCACGTACGTCAATCGGGTGAGTGAGTGCACCCAATTGCGCTTGGAGCTCCTGGTATCTGCGGTGAAAATGACGCGTTCGCCATTGGCTTTAATGACGTAGAACATCAGTCCAATCTGTGAAGGCAGCGAGGCGCCGAAAAGCGCAAACTTCTTTTGCATGGAGAGGGCCTGGCAGTCCTGTACTCGGAGAATGGTAAGCTGCGTCTTCATGCCAGTGTTCTTCGCAGCATGCGCTGCTGAGCTGTACATTTGGAGTCGGTGGCCTCGCAAGAGGCAATAGTACCGTCTGTTCTGGAAAAATGGAGCGTTCACAGGCAAGCTCAGGAAACCCTGCTCCAGGATGGTGTCCTCAGGCTGGCCGGCAAAGCGAGACTCGCGGTGAACGAACTGTTTGGCCAAGGTTTCCATCTCGTTGAGCTCTTCTGCCGAGTAGTGGCACTTGGCTTTCTCTTCATCAGTGTATTGTGGTCGCTCGAACTCCTCGGCATTTTTTTCCACGAATCGGACGCGACGGTGCTTGCCGCTGTTATCCTTAAGACCCATGGCTTCGATGTACGAGCTCCACTTTACAGCGAGTGGTGATTGCGATTTCTTAAGACTGGGAGCTAGAGGAGACACAGGAGTAGCACGACGAGTTACGGAAAGACCAAAAGGCGCACGGCTAGCCTCGCTCTGTTGCTTCTGGTCCTCAAGGCACTGATCCTCCTCGTCGCGGCTCATATCGAGCCACTTCTTGAGATGCGAGCGACGCGATTCACGGCGCTGGTTCTCGCATTCGAGACGTCGAGCTTCGCGGATAAGGCGCATGGTGGTATGGAAGGAAAGGAAATGGGTCTTTCTTCAGTGGCGGAAGGAGACTGCGATCGGCGACTGCGATGCCCGAGTGGGTTGCGGAGAGATGCGGATGCGAGACGGGTCTATCCTCAGTGTTGTATGCTCGCGGTGGCTCTAGCAGCTTTCGATGCTTGACCCACGCTGACGTTTGTTTCCAGTGGTGTGTGTCGTGACGAAACGATGAATGAGGCAGACCAAAGCCCAAGTCGTTCGACTGCTGTTGAAGAAACCCGGAAGATGCCATACAAAGATCAAGAGTGAGTCCGTGTCTTTTTTGCGGGACTCAGCGTCCCACTCTGGTCCCACATGCTCAGATATTTTTCCATACTGGAAACTAATACCTTTCCGAACTGCTGAATGAGTTTGAGACAATATTTTTAAAAACAGGTTTACTAGACCTTCGATATTACATGTCATGCAAAATCATGATGGGTTAGCTCGAAATGATCTCAAAGCGGAGCCGACCATAATTACCGCTGAGGTAATGCACGCACGCTTTCGGTAATCCTGAATAACTATAGAGCAGAACCCAACACCGTTTCATTCTCCGTTCATTATTTCCTGTCGTTCAGACAGGAAATAATGGAGGCGTTTCGAGAGTGTTTTTGGTGCTCTCTTTACATGTGAGCGTTTCTTTTTATTTTTGGCCAATCGCAGCACCACCCAACATGGATACAGATCCCACGATGGGACACTACCTGTAGTACAGTACTGCACCCTGTTTTCGCGGGGTGGGCCATATATGATTTGCAAACACATCATGTTTCAGCTCCGAAACCTGAGGCCTGTTTGCAAAAGTAGCATTATATCCGGAAGTTTATTAAAGGTCCGAGGGCGCAAAAACGGGTGCACTACTGTACCGTTATCGTTTTTATGCTATTAATACCAGTATTATATTTCGTCACTCTCAAGGCAAACGGAAGATAAGTTTGTGGTGAAGTTACTGGTATATTTACACCCTAAGCGTGTCTTCAGACGTACTATAGTTTCTGGTTTGATGAACCCCTGACTCTGTCGGACTCCTTGTCACGCACTCCGACTCGGACTGTGTGTTAAGCCAGATCTGCCAGGTAAGAAACCGCAGATCAAGGGGATGAGTGTCACACACATGGGTTTTGCTGTGGCGCATGTCGCGAGAGGAATCAGTATCGTCTTAATGAAAGCTAGTCAAACCACTAACTTCAACAAAATGTTAAGCTCATCCATGCAGCCCACCATCTTCAATTCTGAAGTGGACGTTATCTCCAGGTGCGCTACAAAAGTCTTGGATCGGATGCCTACGCTTTTGATTTCCCGCTGTGGATATGTTTGATGTCTCTGTGTATTGGAATATGCCAAAATTCACCACCAGAATTCTAGACCACAATGCACTGGTTTGGTAGCTCCATTATGTATAATCTTCTAATAACCATAAACGCACTTGTCGATGGTGACTGTGGTGGTAACGGAGTCCATCGTCGCTTCCAGCCACCACTCAGTCTAGATGCTAAGGACGCTCGTTAGATCAGCATTGCTATTCTTCAGAGTCATTATGGCGCTCTGCTAGGTATCAAAAAAAATACTGGCAGGACTTAGATCGAGAAGCGAGTTCATCTGGAGAAAATAACGTAACTCTAAACGCGGTCGCAGTTAGTTAACCTTAACGAACCTCAGCACAACTTAGATGCATCTGATCGATGCGTTCGTACTCGCAGTAGCTCTAGGACACTATTGCACTGATATCACCGTACGAGGTCCTTAATTCTAAGAAAAAAACTTTGAAAATTATGGTTTTGGAACAAAACTTATTTCTAAATACGATCTTTCAAATTTAATTTTTTGGATCAGATTTGAATCCGAAGGACGCGCCATTTTTTCGGATGTTGTCACCTCCGCCGCCACCACCGCATGATCTGGAGCCTGCTCTCGGTCCCATTATCATCAGCAACGTCAACGCCGGTGTCGAGTTCATCGACGACCTCGTACGTTCTCCACCCATAATCTGTCAAATCTAATACATCTAACGCAATCACCACCAGGCCAATGACGACGAGCGCGATGAACTGATAGAACAGATGAATCTGCACGGAAACTCGATCCAGTCGATGGACGGCCTGGAAGCTTTCACTGGGTATAATACGTAGACTGGCAGTTGCAATAACAAACGGAGAAAGCTCACGGGTGTTTGCCAACGCTGGTAGATTGGTGGAACTCTGTCTGTCGAGCAATTATATTGAGGAGATATCGTTCCATGCACTGCAGTCGTTGGTGCATCTCCGCGTGCTGGACTTGTCGGCTAATAGGTATCTCGATACGGCAATTATTCCTATGCGTTTTCAAGCTGTAGCTGACTTGATATTGCAGCATTTCATCTACGCTTGGATTCCCACAACTGCCACGTCTTGAGGAACTATCCATGGCTCACAACTGGTGCGTTGGCTGCATATGTTGGCATTCATGAGCTGCAGCTTAGTTGATACTGTGGTGTTTATTGCAGTCTGCATGGCTTCAACGGTCTGACGCGCCCCGTTAAGTTCCCTAAGCTGCAGTACTTGGATCTACGAGGCAACGAGATCTCAGAATTAAATGACCTGGCCGTGTTGCAGAGACTAAAGGTGATTAGCGTTTGTAGCTCAATTGGCTGGGGGCTTCAGCGTATATTAACGTTTCATATGACACTTGACAGCGACTCTCTCACCTCCGACTACAAGCAGCTAATGGCGACCAAGCCAACCCAGTATGCGACCTGGATGGCTATCAGCATAACATTATAGAGGTCTGAAGCGAGCTGTAAAGGCGGTTGGATGATCGAAATGACTGACAAGCTCATGTTTTTAGATGCTACCAAGGTTGAAATTACTGGATGAGGAAGAAGTCGAGTTTTTGAAAGAGATGGGCAGTCTACACATGCCAAAGTATCGCTCACTAATGCGCCGAATCGTCGAAAGCAAACGGAATCCAAGTCAAAATCCACGTGATATTAGACGAGAGCCTGCAACGTCGGATCTACACCGACAAAATCGATGTTTCAAGAGCCAAAACAATAGTGAACGAGGAGTGCTGCCTCTCAGTGTGGACACAGAAGAACACCCGCAAGACGGAGAGAAGAAGGTGTCTGCAGCTTCGCCCCTTCCAGCCACCGTTGAATCTGAAGACCCTAGAAGGCAGTCTCAACAGCGCATTATCCTGAATGATACCAGTACAAACACCAGTGTGGATCTGGAGAAGGACATTTTGAAGCGTGAACAAGTCATTGGACAGCGAGAGACTGAATTCTTAGAGAAGGAGAAGGCTTTCCTGACAAAGGAGAATGAGTTTTTCGTTAAGGAGAAAAGCTTGCTGTCGCAGCTTGCTGATCTTCAGGAAAGGTTAGAGATTGCAGAGACCCGAGCAACCAAAGCGGAGGCCACTGTGATGGAAATGTCGAGTCGTCTACTTCAGAAAGAGAAGGATCAAGCTGATGAATTTATGACTTCTCAGTCTCAAACAGAGAAGCAGTTAGAGTATGAAGCTACTCTTACTGCACTGAAAGGCTCGCATCAACAGGAGATAGAGCGTCTCAGTGCTGACAAGGATGAGTTAGAGAAGAAGTTTACAGCACTGGAAGCGGATTACACAATAGTAACGCAGAGATTTCGTGAAGCTGAAGAACGTTTACAGCAGAAGATTGTTACATTGGATAAAAGTGAGAACAAGGTACAGGAGCTTACTGGAGAGTTGGAACTTGCCCGTAAAACACACGAAGCCATCGCTACCCAGTTATCAGATGAAGTCAAGTACCATAAAGACCGCGTGGATCAAGCTGACAAGCGCAACAGTCAACTGGAAAAGCAAGTGACCGAGTTAAAGACGAACGTTGAGACTGTTTACAACAAATGTATCGAGAAAGATGAAGCCATTCAACAATTGAAAAAGAGTTTAGTCGCTCGTCAAGATGAGATCGGCACGCTAAGATCTCAACACGAAAAAGATACTGAGCGTCAAGACAAGTTACAGCAGCAACAACAAGATCTATACGAACGTCAGCTACAAGCGTCGATCATCCAGGTAGAAATGGAGTTTCGTAAGGAGTTTCAGCAATCAGCACAAAAGTTCCAGCTATTACAACGTAAAAACCAGGAACGTATCAAGGAGATCAAGCGCGTTCAAGAGGCGTATCAAGTGAGTCTCCAACGCGAGGCTGCAGCAAAGGCCGAGATCGAGAAGCTTGAAGCCATTCTAGCAGACGACAAGAAGAAGTTGTTTGTGGAGGATTCTAAGCGTTCGGATACATTCAAAGCAGAAATCCGCGAGCAAAAAGCCAAGCGTAAAGAACTGGAACTACAGCTTCTAGAAGAGCAGAAAAAGTCTGCACAACTGGCTGCTGTAACTGCAGAAAGCGACGAGAAAAGGCTTGAAAACGAGCGACTTCGAGAAGAGATTCGAGCTTTAGAAGAACAGCGCGAGTCCTGGAAGAAACTGGAGGATGATCTACGTGCTGCTCTTAAAGTGAAAGATGTTATGCACGCTGATAAGCTACGTCAGATTAAGGAGCTTACTGACCAGATTCAAAGCGCTGAAGTGCAGTTTAATGGAGAGATGGCAGAGTTTCAGGCCCAGATTGAAGACTTGGAGGCTGCGTTAGATGAGAGTCTTCAGAAAGCTGCTGAAGAAGAAGTGAAGAACGAGAAGCTCAGTGCTAAGATTGAGACGTTGGAGAAGGATATACCCAAGAAGGAGGAGCAGTTAACCTCGCTTGGAGCTGAACTGGAGAAGAAAGTGTCGGCTCTGGAGTTTTTGGACCAAGAGATGCAACGCATGCGAACTGTTCTTGAAGATCAGGACAAACTTTTCCAAAAGCGAATGCAGAAACATATTGAACAACAGCGTGAAGTAGTGGAGCGTGTTCGAGCAAGTGCAGAAGAGGAACGAGAACATCAGCTTCATGGGTGGGAGGCTGAGCGAGGCGAGATGATGCGTAAGTATGAGACTCTGGCAGCTGAAATGGAGAACGTAGCGGCTCATAATGCAAAGCTGCGAGTTGCGTTGGATCAGGAGCGTAGGAAGACAGCGCAAAATGATCGAGATATGAGAATTCTGTTGGCGCAGATTGATCGCGAGCGGCAATCGAAGAAAGAGAACTTACGACAAATTAAGTCTCTTTTCGAGCAATTACAACGAGAAGCGTCATAGTTTAATATTAAAATGAGTCTTCGTCGCTTCCATCTTCTGAAAAGTACTCGAGTTCTTCAGATTCAACTTCCTCCTCGCTCACATCGGACTCGCTTCGCAAAGCTTTTGTCTTCTTCGCATCCTCTTTAGCTTCATCCTCACTCTCCTTTTCAGTTGCAATTGCAGGCCTTTCATGATCACTTTCATTTCCATGTGAGTCCTCATGTTCATCTTGATGCTCTCCGTTTGCCGTAGCACCTACAGTCGTCTCAGCTTCATTCTCATCTCCGCCTTCCTTGTCGCTTTGAGCTTCACCTCTAGGTGGCAACGTTTGGTGTTCATTCGACTGTGAAGCTTCAGCCACCGATTCTTCTATAACGGATTCTTCCATCATACTCTCTTCTAGCCCACTATCACCGTCTTCCATTGCATTTTCAGCCTCACGAGTTGTTGTCAACGATGGTTGTCTCTGTTCATTCTCGTTTGCATCCATTTGTGGTGTTTCTGGTAGATTCTGTACCAATCGATCCAGTAGCCGCTTCAATTGCGTCTCATTTACGACGCCTGGAGCCAAGAATCGACCGTTGTCTTGCTGTAATTGGCGAGTGATCTGCTCCGTTTCTGATGTTCGTGTAAGCATCGGGAGCTCTACCACGTGCAACTTCCTGGTAGGAGGGGATGCACCATTGCCATCTCGATACACATACAAAGACGTGGAGCTCTCGCCAGTAGCATCCACAACACCCTTCAGATCGTCTTCATACTCGAGCGCTAGCGTCGGGATCGGCGCATACTTGAGTCCAAAGCGGGTGGGTACGATCATTTACTTTAGAAGTGCGCAATATTCGTGTCGTTTCGCGGTCACGTAGGTTACGATAGGAGTACACTTTGTGTACCCTTTCATAACGCAGTTTCCTGGGAATTATAGTCACTACGTCGACTATTTATGGCTTCTCATATGCACAATACGCGGCTGTAGCGCTCCATGATCGCCTAGCACCTCGGCATTTAGTCATCGTCCTGCATCTACAAAGTGTAGCCATCTTCCAGTAATGGCAACTGTGCAGCCAATCTCCTTCGAGAATCGTAACCCTATCGAGCGGGTTACATTCCGCTCTGAAGACCTGACGTGGCACGGCAATTTGCTCAACTTCGCGGGCTCAGACGACGAGAGCTCCATCGACTCGGACGCTGTCTCTGATTCCGACGTGTCTTCGTCAATCTCGTCCTTCGAAGCGCCCTCTTCTAGTGATTCCAGTGACGAAGAGAGCGACTCGGAATCAGATTCAGGCTCGGAGTCCGATTCATCCGTCTCAGATCAGGACCAAGTGGACATCGTTGACCAACATTCATCCGACGACGAAGGCAGCCGTCCACCAGAGTCCACCTTCTACCGTCATCCCTCTTTGACGCTGACGGGGACTGTATTGGACGCTGTTGCGGACATGGCTCGCACCGACAATCTTGGCTACATTGCGTGGCTCGTACCCATTACCGGCATCTTCACCATGCTCGGTACCGAATTTCTGGCCTGTGTTAACCATTTCACATGCTCCGAGAACTTCCCAACTTTATCGTACGCCGCCACGTTCCGACCGGAAGCTTTCGCCTTCACTGGGGGCATGTGTCTTACCGCCATCTTCATCTTTACATCGGTCGTGCTCTTCTTCTGGTACCTGCGACTACGAATGCAGCGAAGCTCGGACGAGCAAGAGAACACACCGAAGCAATTAATGACCGGATATGCTTGTCTCGTGTCTGGAATGACGGCAGCCATCTCGCTCTTTGGACTCGCAGTAATGGATATGCGCAATTATCATGACGCGCATATCAACTTCACCATCGCCTTCTTCATCGCGGCATGGGCTACAATGATTGCGGTACAAATAGCGAGAAAGAATGTTCTTCATGAGGACGAGAGCGCTGAAAAATCTTTCTCGACGGATAGTCTTCTGGTTGTACTGCGTCGTCGCTCCTTTTGGCTCTCGCTGCGTCGTTGGAGAAGGCTGGATGTGTATACAGCGTACACGCTCGGTCAATTGCTGCTTAATACTGGACTGGCGTCGACGTTCTTGTGTAAGTTTTTGATTTCTCATGATATCTGATCATTACTGACTGTATATTATTTGTTTTCTTTTTAGTTGGTTTGTTTTTCCTGTGCGCTAACGGTGTGTGGCCAAACCCGCTGGGTTTTACTGCAGTTCAAGAAGCCTTTTTTGAAGCTGTAGCCATTATGTGCCAGCTTCTCTTTATGGGTACATTTTCTTGTGAGTTGGCAAGACTTGCTCGACTTGTTGAACGCAGTGACTACGCAGAGTTAGAGAGGACTGAATAGCTACAAATCAATTTGCATACTACCATTTAGAGCATGCTCGCTTTATCTACGCCTGCTGGTTAAGGTATTCGACGAATAGGTCGCCGATATCAGCAACAGCGCATGGTCGTAGCCGCGTGATCTTGATGTACTGACGACGGTGACGACGAGCTTCAGCCGTGGACAGCGGACGAGTGAGTCGCAGCTCGTTCTTGACAGTGTGTGGTGGCACTCGCAGACCGTCAGCCACTCCAGCATCGCGTTGGTGAGTCAATAATGCCTCCACTACAGCGTTCGTGACTTCATCCAGGGCTTGAAGGAAGCTCGTCTCCGCAGCAGGTGCAGCCTTGGTGGCAAGACCTGCCTTCACGGTCTTTCCGAACCGAATAGCGTCGGTGATGGCGTCCAGCGGTATTCCAGCCCCATCTACAGCAAAGTCGTCCGGAGTCAGGCGAAATAAGGGACTGTCCCATCGATTCTTGTCCATTGGAACCTCGAAGCGAGCCGCAAGCTCTTGCAACAGCTTGGAGTCAAGATTTTCCTCACTCGCTGCGTTACGCTGCAACGCTATCTCCATCGGCGTGTCCACATACACCTACAAGCATATAAGGTATTAGTGCACATTTCTAACGCTAACTGGAACTCTAAAAGAAATGCGTACCACACAGTATGTAGTACTCTCTGCTTTAGCCTTGCAGAAGAGTTCGTATCGCTCTCCTTTGGTGTAGTTGAGAGCATCCAGCACCACTATCGTCTTGGTATTCACAACCTTCTCCACTGCAGCTTTCAATGCACTCCGAGTGTTCTTCTCCGCTCTACTATCTGCAGTCAATTAGAGTAAGAGGTCCGATGAGTCGAGTATTGTGCTCCACCCATTTCAGTCTTACCGGCGTAACCCTTCGTCTTGTCAACATTGACTGTAGCCGGTGAGATGCATAGGACATCTTGATCCGGCAATTGGCGCTTTAGATGGCCTACCAACGCTGTAGCCACCGTCGTCTTGCCAGCCGCAGGAATCCCGCACACAACGACGAGAGGCATGATGGAAAACGCACTTGGCTGTTGTAGCCATCTGTCAGCACAAAATGTAGCCATGTGTTAGCCAGGTGGGGGGATCTTAACCATGTTGAAGCTGTCGGCAACAAGAACCGGTCATTGCTGCTGATCTACCAGGTTTCTATCCACAATCGAGAGTGGCGTTTCCTCTGCTTGGACAGCAGTAATTTTAGCTTTGTTCCTTCCATCCAGGGGACGTCAAACAACTACGGTCAGGCTTCGAAGCCATCTTGTTCGATCTACGCTTGGCTACACCATTTTATCCATTGCAGCAAGTAGCTCAGGCCATGCCGAACTCTACGGGTAGTGAACTTAACGTGCTGCTGCGTCATGTACCCAAGATCGTCGTGTCTCGCTTCGTCAACAACCCAGATCGACCTCGAGGACCCGAGAGCTCCTCGTTCCTCGCTACTGTGGCTCTCTTCGACATCTCTGGGTTTTCATCTCTCGGTAGTCGACTCAGCGAAGACGAACGTCGACAGAGCAGAGAAACCAAAAGCAATAATACTGAAACAAAAGTACAAACTGCAGCAATACAAGGACAAACTAACCGACCGCGTTTATCCAGTGGAGCACGCAGTAGCAGTGTAACAGCTCTCCATAGTGACTCAAAAGTATCCAAGTCGAGGATTTCTCAACCAGTACTATTGGCGCTACCAAGTTTTATCGGTCCTACTGTTGGTAATATATCCAGTCGAAGCTCACGAGAGTCAACGAGGTCGTTGAAAGACTACGATGATAGCAGTTCGGAGGAGGAATGTCTTAGTCCAAGTGATATGATGCGCCAAAGACGACAGAGTAGTGCGTTATACTCATCGTTTACTACCAAGACGTCAGTAGCGACACAAGGTATCGCAGTCGAGACACTAACCACGACGCTAAACAAGAGTCTGGAACCCGTAATTCGAGTGATTCTGAAGCATGGAGGAGATATCATCAAGTTCGCAGGTGACGCTCTTATTGTCATGTGGGAGACTGAAGCTTCACGCGGTAAAGTTACACCAGCAGGAGAGCTGGTTTATCGTGCAGTTTGCTGTGCTTTGGAAGCTTTACATGCACTTGAGGGTACTGATACCGATACTAACGAGCAAGAAAGTGAACCCTCGCATGAACAGCTACTCGGAATGCACGTGGGTATTGGTGTTAGCAACATGACAGGAAACCACGTTGGTGGGGTATTAAACCGGTGGGAATTTTACCTTAGCGGAGATGCTAACAGACAGATGAGTTTTGCTGAGGAAAGCGCGAAAAAAGGTCAATTGGCGCTCTCTCCTGAAGCTTATGGTGCTCTTGAAACGCGGTTTGGAACATTACCGGAGTTAGATGTGGTTTGTCATGCAAGTGGGAATTATCTGATACTGGAGATACCAGGAGAGCCTTCGATATCTGTACCGTATCGCCAAAATACTGCAACTGTACCACTAGAAGCGAGCTCCGACTTGATCGGGTTTCTGCGATGTTACGTACCTGGGGCGATTGTATCACACTTGCAAAAGGGTCTTGCTCTTACTCCCTGTCGACTGAATGTCACCGTTGCGTTTGTGAAACTTGAAGGCGTAATCGAGATAAAAGACGCACAAAAGCAGCTACAAACGATCCACCAGAACTTGTGTACTATTCAAGAGTGTGCGTACAAAGCACAAGGTATGCTGCGTCAGTTCGTTATCGATGATAAAGGAGCCATCGCCATCGTCGCTATTGGACTTCCTCCGTTTTTCCACGAAAACAACTGTAAGTGTTATGCTAGTGCTCTCGATTTACAACTTAAACTAACCTTTTACCTGTTTGGCAGCTTTTCGAGGCATTAAATTCGCATCTCAAGTTTTGGACAGTGGAATAAAGGCATCCATCGGGTATGCAGCGTCAATATTACCAAAAATATCATTTGACTAACTTATATTTTTCTATAATGCAGGATCACAACAGGTTCTGTATATTGTGGTTCTGTTGGGAGTAGTGCTCGAGCAGAGTACGCTGTTGTAGGAGATTCTATCAACTTGGCTGCTCGGTTAATGTCTGCTGCTCCTGTGGGTGAAATTTACTGTGATGATCGGACTCATAAAGAGACAAAAGGATCGGTTCATTTTCGAGATACGCTCGAAATGAGTGTGAAAGGCAAGACCAAACCTATTCAAGTCTTCCCTGTGCAGCAGTATTCACAAGCTTCTGAAGCAGTCGCCACTTCTTCATCAGAGCCGACGTGTCCAGCACCGTACAGAAGCAGCGAAATCCTAGACGCAGTGCCCCTTTTCGGCTCCATTCCAAGATGTAACATCAGTGATACGAACGCGCACCGAGCATTAATTGTTTGTGGAGACAGCGGCACCGGTAAGACTATGCTGCTGAATCATGTGGTACAGCGACATTCTCTGCTTTGTTTCAAGGGAAATGGTGACAGCATGGATACTGCCGAAGATTTCCACTCGTGGAGAAATATCGCGAAAGCTATGGCTACAGTCATGGTGAAATCTTCGTTGAACAAGGCTTCATTGCCAAGAATTGACGTGGCTTCTTTGACAATACATCGACCAAGTCAACATGGGCGAGCTTCAAGAACGAGTACACTGACAACTCATAACGAAATCAGCGACAGTGAAGCCGACCTTGACAACAGCTTTAACGGACGCGTAATTGACTGTGCAGTGGACACAACACCACAGCGTGTTACAGTCCTGGACTATTTGTTACTTCACCAAAAAGTTACGAAAGAGACACTGAAAACTCTACGCCACTGGTTTCCATACGACGACACAGGCACGACTGTAGAGCCTACTGCTGAAAAGGGAGAAGGATCACTGAAATCCTTTCGGCAAGTGATGTTCTCTATGATTGCTGTAGTCAGCGCTGTAAAGCCTATCATGTTGGCTTTTGACGATGCTCAATGGATGGACAACCGAAGCTTGAGTCTTGTACTTAAAGTCCTCGAAGAATTACCAAACGTGTATTTCTTTATCACGGTACGAGGCTTATCTTCCTCGAGTGCGAGGTCAATGCTGCTCGCTCTAGTCATGAGTCTCCCCAGTGTTGATACACGACAGATGAACTGCTTTACATACCAGGAAACGAGTCTTTTCTTGTGTCAACAATATCATATCACCATCATGGATACACAAGTTCTCAACTTTGTATTTGAAAGAACAGAAGGCAATCCTGGATCTCTCATCAAGCTCGTAAACTTCATGCTGGATGCCAAATACATTGCCATCGAACCGGAGACCAACAACATTGTGATTCTTAAAGACTTGGACGAGATGGATACATTGGTACCTCAACATATACGAGCTCGCGTCATGTCGATCGTAGACTCGGTGGATGCCCTCGCCCAGACAGCATTAAGACTGCTAAGTATCAACCCTCAACCAATTGAGGAAATGATGGTAAATGGTGTTTTAACGCTCTTATTGAATGCAAAATCCGACGCGAGCATGAGCGAGGCAAGCAGCATTCGACTCAAGGTTCCCAAACCTACATCCGAAGTGCCATTACTCCGTCAAGTTCGTGAAAGTCTCGCGCCTTGTGAAAAAACACTTTTGACCATCGATCCGCACAACAAACTCTACTTTTTCACCACTGAAGAGATGCGTCTTGTGGTGTACGATATGATGCTGCCATCTCAACGTAAAGTTCTTCACGGTTTGTATGCCGAATGGCTCAAATACGCTGCCAAATCTGGTCAAGAGCCACCGCTCCTAGCAACAACTGGGTCGAAATCTTCAGCTGGGAACGTGACGACTACCGAGCCTATTAAAGCATCAGCTATTCACCCGATGCCGTATCAGCGGTACGCCTTATTGGCTTACCATCTTTCCCAGTCAGATAACCCAAAAGAAGCGCTGGAAGCCTATTATCTCGCTGCCGAAGGTGCCATGGAGGCCAAAGAACTGGGTTTTGCCGAAGACTGTATGCACACTTCTATCAAAATCTTGAACACGCATCCTCGCGTCAACGATCTCTCTGAGCTGGACACTATTCTACTGCGAAGTCGTATCGAGTTTATCCGCGGTACCATCGCAGTGGAGAACAACGACTTGAACCAAGCGATCGCCCACTTGTCCTGTATCACGCGGTTATTTAACCGCAAAGGTAGCGTCTTGCGGTATCATTCAATCAACATCCAGCGCGAAGGTCTGCCACTTCGTTCACCACTCAGCCTTACCAGTAGCCGTCGTACCAGTTTCCCCATGTCGACTATGGTTGATCCTGCACCTGCCACACCTGGTTGTTTTGGGGTATCAAGCCCACCCGAGACGCGATGTATGCCTCGCTTCTTCTCTTTCAACAACATCTTCCCATCCCATTCACGGTTGGACGCGCCACTTAATCGCCAACTTACGACTAAAACCACACGATCCAAGATGTCGGCACGGCTCAGACCAAATCGCATACAGGCAGAGCAAACTCTTGAGGCGTTGGACCACATTAACTTCTACCGACGAAAGGCATCGGCGCTTATTAAGCAGATCAATTACGCCAAGAAGAAACAGGATGAAATGCATCGCCATATCCAGAAATTCGCGCAACGAAGTCTACAAGCGAAAGACAAAAGATGAACGCGGTAATTTCCGCTATCAAGTGTAAAAATGACGTACAATGGATGTCTTGAAAATCTCTGTAAATTGACAACTTAAATGTTTTAACATGATATTTTGCAACACCAAAAAGCTCCAGAAATTTACCTATTTATCCCTCCAGCTGCAACAGATCCATGATTGCACCAATTTTGCTTTTGTACTCGAGATGTCCACCAATAATTTCTGACAGGTCTACATTCTCGACGCCAGCAATGTCGATAGGTGCGATACCCGCGGAGTTTAGCGCCCACCCTTGATAGCGGTACATGACACCGAGCATCCAGTCCTTGTCTGAATATCCGTTAATGAGTCTCCCTGACACCACACGACGAGCGTTAGCCCAGTCGTCACGTGCCATAGGAACAGGAGAACCCAAGAGCACTGCGTTTTCTACAATCCCACACGACTCGTCTATCGTCTCGCTCTTCGCTAGTTCCTTTAAACACGAGAAGATCAGCCTGGCGCCCATGCCGTATCCAATCAAAGTAACCGGACGGAGCCCCTGTTCACGCTTCCGCAGTGCATCAGCCAGTAGTTTACCAGAAGTATCCGCAGCGTTCATTGTCACAGTCCAGGCATTGTCAATGATATCAGCAAGCCGAAGAATCACTCGAGGGATTGCCACTGCAGCGAATAACGCTGCAAGAGCAGTGTACTTGACGATTTCAGTGGTAGCGTAGTTCGAAACTTGCTCTGCTGCAAACGTCCGCATCGATTTACCAAACCTGCGGAGTCCAGCCTCCTCCCATATCAAGCAGTACTGGTCTCCTTGAGGGAATCGGTCTTTCCATCTCCAAGCACGCAGCGGTTCATGCTTCGTTCCTAACTCCCACACCGACGAGGTACCGGTATTCGCTGTAGTACTCTGATTACTACTGGAAATGGCGTTTGAATCGCTGTTTAAACTCGTAAAGTCGCTGTATCGCGCATCTTGGTCCGCCACTGCCATCTTGGAGAGATCTGCAATGCCCAATGGATCGTTCTCAGAATTCCCGGCGTCAATACTGTACGTACGACGTAAAATCGCAAAGAATTCGTCTTCGCGTCCTTTATAGCGATCCATAACTTGGTCCACCTGGTCCACTTTCTCTGGATTCTTCTGTCTGTAAAAAGCTCGCAAATACTCACGACTATCTCCCCATGCTCGACGGAAGCCTCTGACGGGTGGGTCATCGTCATCCAGCCATCCAGACACACAAATGTAGACGTTCATACCGTCTCCGGCAGAGACTAAATCGAAGCTAAAGTCATGCACTCCTCTGGTTCTAGTATCCGCCTTCATGCCCATAACTCCAGCCCCAGCTGTACCAAACAGTACAGTCGTAGCTGTGACTCCAGCCGCTGATCCTACAGCAGCTCCGATGGTCACGCCTGCTCCTCCCAAAGCTGTTAAGCTCGCAGCAATGGCAGGAGCAGCCAGACCACCGGTCACTGCTAACAACGCACCTCCAGTCACTGCTGCAGCGCCAATAGCAGCGTTACGCTTCCAGTCTGTTATCTTGGGTTTAGCAGCCACCTTCTCGAGTGGCATGGCTGTAGCCTCAGCGTACAGAGTCTGGCCTATATCCACCTCTTCTCTGGTTACGTCCGTCCACTGTAGCTCCATAGCTAGAACTAGACGTCTTAATAGCGTTCTAGATCTGGCATCGTAGCCCACACTTTTTACTGTAAACCATAGCAGTCTTTTGACGATTTCTAGACGGAAAGTGTCGGTCGTTAGGAGATCTGAGGCTTCTAAAGCGTCACGTTCTGTGCGGTGCTTGAGTTTCCTGGCCCAGCGTTTGAAGCCACCTGCAGCTTCGCGTTCCGGGACTACAAGGGCCAAAAATGGGGCCGGATCGAGCTCTTCGACGGTCGCGGAGGAAGGTTCATGTGCTTTAGCGACCAGTTCTTGTCTTCTGGAGGTTAAAATGGGTAAATACGCCTCGGTTTGGGTGCTAGAGAGCCCTACGAAGTGCTCTATTAGCAGCTTTAGATAAGCTTTAGACCACACGAGCGAAGTGGAGCCATCAGTCACCGCCGGGAGGAGACAAGCGCAGAGACCAGCGACGCCGCGCTTCTGAGACTCGGAGAGGAACTCCATCGCGTATTCAGAGGCGATAGGTGCGGTGGAAGTGCTGGGAGGACTCGACGAAGCGTCGGGGCGACGAGCGAAGAGCTTCTTCATGGGTGTTGTGATAATGGATGACTGTTCAAACGTTTTGATTGGCTAAATTTGATGTCTGATTCTGAGTCGATGGGATATGGCTACAGCGTACTTAGTGGCTAAGTTCGATGTAGCCATGAGCTTGAAACGACGCAAACGTTGAAGTGATCCTGTGGCTGCTATGGCGGAGAAGGGGTTTCTGGTGGATGCGGTGGCCGAGTTCGTGAATGGCACTGTGTGGCGTGATGCAGTGACGCATTTCCTCGAGACGCACTATAAGCGATTTCTAACGGATCCGACACCAGAGAGCAAAGTAAATGGCTACACATTGGAGCAGTATGACTCGTTCATGGCGTTCAAGGACCGCGTCGAGCGGATGTTGGAAGGTGTCGTGAGTGAGTTAGGCTGCTCTGGGGAGGACCTGGTTGAGGCTATTCAAGAAAACTTAAAGTACAAGTCGGCGCTATCGACTGAGAAGAGATTTTGTATCCAAACACTACTCACATTCGACGACTATGACGCCTTCTACTCGAGAATTCGTGAGTACGCAGCCGAGAAACAAGGTATCGTGCAGATATACCAGTATATAAGATATTGTTTTTTCATTATTGACGGTGAGATTTTTCAGCTGTTGGATACGATGAGACCGTAACCGGGAACGCTGAGATCTCCGAGTGGGCATTACAGGAGGCAATCGCAAGATCACTTCTGGAAGCTCACGTACGTAATAGTTCTGAGATAAACCGAAGCGAAAAGTAATGAGTTGGTCTCGGTTTGTAGGCAAGGGGTCAGCTGGATGAAGCAGAGGCGAGCTGGCTCCCATGGGCACAAGCTTTCGTACAAATGAGTGAGGCAACTGCACCAAGTGTCGGTGGTGAAGAATCAACAGTGGAAGGTATGAGGGCAATTGGTATTATTCACACTGGAGTATTAATTAGTGGCTAATTGATCGTTAGCTAAGGAAAGTGAAGCGAGAGCGGAGACGAAAGATACTGCTGAGGATGAGCCAGAAGAAAAAGAAGATATTCGTATGCAAGAACTGGAGAAAACCTTGATCCGAGAGGTGCGATTATCTATGCTGAATATGTTGTACTATGAGCACTAATTCTACTCGCTACAGAGGTTCAAAGTGGACCTCCTCGTTGCGCAGCGAATTGCCGACGCTAATGCTCAGATGAAGAAACAGATGCTGAACCTTGCCGCGGCAGTGGTGAATCAAGACGAGCAAGTCGAAGATGTAGCTATATCAGCAGAAGAAGAGCTCGCTGGGCTCTTCAAGCATATTGAGACTATCGGTGATCGTCTGAAAGACGTGAAAGCGCGGTGCTTCATATTCGAAAGTGTCACGCAGCAGCAAATGGATACCATGTAAGATATTTTTGCTTACGGTAAGGTTGGCTGATTCTAACACTGCATTGCCCTAGTTATCTCTATCTTAAAGAAAAAGTTCATTACAAGCAAGATCTCGTCTCACAAGAGAAGGAAATAGCAACTTTCATCTTCACGCAGGTACAAGAGAAGGACGAATCTTTAATTCCTTTGATGCTGGAATGGCTATTACTCGAGTCGGAACAGCTTCGAACGCAAAATCAAATCCAGGAACACCTCGCTGGTCCACGCGACGAAGGGTACTGGACGCAAGTATGGGATGAAGCCTCTCAAGCGTTTTACTATGTCAACTCGGAGTCTCAGGAGAGTGTTTGGGAACCTCCAGCTGCTGGTTTCTACGATATCAACAATGAGTTCCAAGTTCCTGGATTAGAAATCGAAAACGCAACACCCGTTAATGATGGACTGGATTCGAATGCTGAGGCAAAGGAGAAAGATGTATCATATACAGATGGATCTTACAATTCCGAGACTCTTACAGAAATTCCGAGCTTGGAGCAAGCGTCATCTCAGCTGGATGCTACGTTTGAGTTGACTATCGGGCCAGACGCAACAGAAATGGTAAGTTCGACTGAATACTGGTGTGTTACCACCATAATTAAAATAAAAAATGAATGTGCAAGGTGGAGATGGATAACGTGTTGGAGCGCATTTCTCGCGAGCACGACCAAGAGCGTAAGAGGTTGGAACTCGTTTTCGAGCTGGAGAAGGCACGTCAAAAAGAGGAGTTGCGTAAACGTAAAGAGAAGAAACGTCGAGAGAAATTGGCCAAGAAGCAAAGACAAAAGGAGGCAGAATTCCAAAACGAAGCTCCTAAAGAGGATGGAGAGGCTTCAGCTCAGCCTTTGCCTGCGCCAATGTCTTCACGTGTTGCTGAGGCGAAAACTGAGGACAATTCTCATCTGGGTATCAACGTTCCTGGCCATGGCCGGATCGACTTGACTCACTTACTCAGTGATACACACGCCACTCGCCATCGTCAATTAAAGGGAATCACACCGACTCACGAGCGAGTCATGCTTAACCCGGCAACGCTACGCTACCTCACTGAGCAAATGGTGATGAAGCAGCCTGAGGTCTTAGGACAGCAAGTACGGAATGAGATTGTGCTAGAAGAAGCGGATGAAAAGTAAGCAGGGGGTATATGAGGACCATTTACATTCTGCGTTTGCCTCTTTTGGAATAATTTGTGTTGTTCAGAGCTTGGTCTTTTGTTTCCTTCTTCATTTGCCGTAAGTTCTTCAACTTATTCCGATATTCTGCTTCTGCTTGTTTCTCCAAGTATTTTATTAAGGTTTTGTAGACCTCCAATGCTGCGTCACGCTCAATAACCGGAATTCTGGAGTCTTGTCGAATGGACTCGACAAAGTTGGAGACGCTCTCGACAGCGTGCTTCTTCTTCTGCAGTAAATGGCAGACAGTCATGATAAATTGCGAAGATAGACGAACAAGGATGCGAACGTACTGTGTTGTAGTCGAGCACTTTACCTCCATACTGGACGAGGAGCTTGGCTACACTGAGAGACTTAACGTAGTGCATGGGTGAGCATCCAAAGCGATCGCGACTTAACGCGTCTGCTCCATGACTAAGCAAGAGAAATACGACAGGCCGGTGATTATTTGCCACTGCCAAGTGCAGTGGTGTGCAACGACCCTGATCATCTTCAAGTTAGTTGACGTCAATTTACACTCACCATTTATTACTCCAAAACTCTCACCAACATGGTGCGGAGCATCAAATCCGCTTTCGTTTTCTGCAGTAAGAGCTTGACAGTCTCCATATCTCCTCTAGCACACGATTCATGCAGCAGCGATCGCCCAGTTTTGGAATCCCTCGTGTTGATCACAAAGTTCGGATCATCCTTCAGAAGCTGCTCCAGGCCTTCTACATCGCCTGCAACCACCAAATCCAATGCTGAGACTTCTGGCCGGGGTTTCTCCTCAACAACTACAGTATTCTGGCTGGAAACACTAAGGAGATCATCTACTAAATCCACGAAGCCGTCCATGACAATTGCTCGATGCGCCGGTTCGTTTTCAACGTGCTCACACGTCACATATTTGAGGTGGTCAACATACTTTGTGTAAAACCTGTGTAAAGTCTCAGTACAGTCTCAAAACTGTGGCCATGGTGTTCGCTCGACGCCTCCAGCAGCTTCGGACGCTGCCCAGAGAGCTTAAAACCAATGCAGGGTCCATTATAAACCTCTCAATTGCTCGCAATATGTCCGACAAAAATGATGCTGAAGATTGGAGCAATCTTAGCGCCGTTCTTAAGGTGAAAATCGATATTCTTCAATTAATGTTATGATATTCCACGAGTTGATTGGCTTTGAATTGATTCGAGCAGGAACTTCGCAATATATCGCGGGAAAACGGACTGGAGGGCGACATGCCGGACACGAAGTTACTAAAAGAGTTGGGCTACGGATCGTTAGTCATGGCTATTCGCAAGAAACATGGAGGAGTTGTGGAAGTCGCAGCGAAAATGGGTACACGCAAGGACGAACAGGTTGTCGACGTGCACAAGAAAGTGAGTGCACGAGCTAAGCGCCGCCAGAAGCGTCAGGAGCGACTCAACAAGCACGACTTTTATTGAATACAGTAGCATCAAAGCACTCGATAAAATTTTACATGAAGCCATGCCTACTCACTTACGATCCACGAGCTGCTGTGGTTTGTTTTACTCTGAAGAGTTTTACGTACATAGCTGTCAAGAGCGGATTCGTGCGTGTACAGTACGAGCCGTCCAACGCGCAATACGTCGCCCTTAATCCACGCTCGAGCCAAAATTTTAGCTACAACCTCTTGCTCAACACTGCGGCTGTTATTGGAGCGAAGACCAGTGTCCTTGTCTTTCTTCACACTGAAGACAGCAAAGCGCAGCTCTCCCTTCGGGAATTTGGACTGGAAAGCACGCTGCATTTCGACGAGCCACGATCGCTCAAACACGTAACCTCGTCGGCTAGACAGCGATATGACCAGCGGCGATCCTGTTAGTGAGCCAGCAAAGTCTTGGTTTGTTACTTTGCCGAGATCCTCGAGCACATGCTGTACCACGTCGCCAAAACATACGCCAAGTTCTCGGAATATGATACTGCGAGTACGTGGACGCTGGATAAAGCTCGTATCAGTGCTCAAGCATTCCAATATAGCATCGGCGGAACATCGTACGTCCTGGATATCAACGTATGTGAGACATGGAGCACGCCATAAGGCTGCAAGCCCTCGGTCTGTAATGCTGTTGACTGCCGTAATACTCCCCTTCCGACTGTTTGACAGAGATCCTAACTCGCGAATGCGCAACGAGCGAAGTTGAGGGCAATTGGCAGTCAACGCTAAGAAGAACTCATCGTTAAACACGTCTGGGTCGATCATTTCGTCGATTTGTGGGTAAATCAGTGCATCGCACGGCTGAAGTCGATGAAGCACGACGTCCAAATGTTCGAGCGCCGGACAACCAGCCACGAGCACGTTTAAGCCTCCAGTTGAATACTCATTCCGTCGAATACGGAACGGTGCCCGTGTGTTGTACGTCAACTGTAGACGTGTAAGGAATGGCTTCGTCGTCTGACCAAATGGCAGAAAGAATTCGTCCGAGAAAGGCACAACAACCCAGCTAAACTCTCGCAGTGCAACGCAAGACTTGCAGAATATTTTCCAGACATCGCGAGACACACACAAGCTCTCATCTGACGCCACCAACCTCGTTCCTTCACTGTACGAGCGTTTCCAGCCATCCAAGTACTCCAATCCAGGACACATGCTCTGCACCTTCATCAAGAACTCATTGGACGTTCCTTCTCGATCGAATTCGCTTCTTGAAGGCACCGTCAACTGTCTCAATCCCCCAGAAACCTCGTTCCACCTCTCTAACGCAGTATAAAGTCTCCAAAACACAAAATCTAAGTTGTCTGCCACTGCGTCTGCATGCAGTTTCTCTTTTTTGGGTAGAATCAACGCTTCCAAGTGTTTGCAACAGGTCGACGCTGCGTCTAGCAGATCTCCCATTGCCAAGTGGTGCAGCGGGACCCCCGTTAAGTCCAATCTACGGAGATTGGGACATAGTTTCAGTATATTTCTCCACTCTATCCATTGCTGGAGGTCGGAAGCTGCTGTTTCCTCTTGATCGGTCGGTGTCTGAGCATCCAAGTCCCACCACAGAGCTCTCTTCTCCGGTGTAATTATGATTCTCAGATCCAGTAACTTCTCACCCACGTTACAAGTGGATAACTGCGTAATTATCTGCTTCTCCTGCTCTCGCTCGTGGCCTGTAGTGAACTGTAGCGTCAACACAGTTGTGTTCTCGTGTTCTGCGCAGAATTCCGCGACGACATCCCTCCATGCTCGACAGACGCGCGCCAATCGCTGCAGGTTGAAAGTGGACGGCTCAGTTAACTTCGTCGCGAAGTTCGGAGCACTGTGGCTGATGTCGGACGCGTCTATTTCATGAGGAATGAGCTCGGGCGCTGCCGCAAACGAGCAGATCTCGCGCTGCAAAGCTAATGGTAGCGACTCCATCGCTGAAAACAATTTTTAAAGACATTTTGATGGAAAAAATGAGCTGCAATATTGCCAATAAGTGTAGGTTAATTTTTTAAAATTTCAAAATATTGTCAGACATTGGACAAAAAGTGCTCTCGTAGCAGAGATAATATTTTATAAAAATATATAAGCTTTATTTGGTTTTCTATTTGGTCCTTACTCACATGTATACTCGTTTTGTTGTCAGCATTTGACGATCCACTCGAACGGAGTCGAGCTGGTGATATCTCCGCGATAGAAAGTGCCCTCAGTCACGTCCTGATATTTCCAGTTAGCGGTGAAGACCGAGAATTTCGCAATGGAGAAGTTGTCGCCGCTTTCTGCAGCGTTGATTGTACCCGGACTAGGCTTTTCCTGTTCCAATGTCAACTGGAAACGCACTGTCGGGTGGTTGGATTCGAGTTTGTGTCGAATATTTCGAAGCTTGTCTTCCCACACTTGGGGATGCCACAATTTCTGCGTGAAGTCACGCAGATGACCGACGTTCACGAGCATCAAAGCAAACGCCTTGTTCGTAAAAGTGCCAGCAGGTTCATGTGCCACAAGCTCCAATAATGGCAGAATAATTTTGTCAAAATCCTGCATCACACCAATTTTGACATTGCGTTGGTGGATGATCGACGGCATGCGCTGAATGAATGGGTACACGCCATCGCCCGACGTCCTCGTTAAGGCAGCGATCGAAATATCCGAGAGATGCGTCATGCTTGCAAGCGACAACAAGCCTTCACCACTGACACACTCGAGAGCTTGCGGGCCAGCATATTTCCCCGCCTCTGAGAAGCTAAACTGCCCAAGATATGGCGATGCCTTCGACAACTGCCATAAGAAATCATCGTCAAAGACATCGAGATCAATACGATAGCGAGGATGGAGAAAGACCTTGAAAGAGCGCAGGAACGGTAGCCCCCGGACAAGAGCGCATAGACCAGCTGATGAATAGGGACGCGAGGCATTGTCCAGCGTCGAGATCTCTGCTTCACTCGCCAAGTCTGCTGCAGCTGCGGCTTGCAACGACCACGCCCGGATCAATTGCTCCGCTCTCGTCATGAAGCCGATAGTCGTTGCAAGTACCGAGCTGGCACTTGTAGCTCGTTTTCTCCTTAAAAACGCGCCAGTAAAATCAAACGAGATGTCTGTCAGACGGCATTTCTGTGTGGCTCCGAAAGGTTCGAAGAATGCGTCGGTGAATGGTACCACAGCCCAATTAAACTCACGTAGATGTGAGCATTGATTGCAGAACTTCTCCCAGATATCCAATGATACACGCCACTCTTCGTCGCAGAGCGCAGCGCCCCACCCATCGTTTACGTACGTGAGCTTCCAGCCGTCCAGAATCTCCACGTTTGGACAGAATCGAGTGACTGCAGTTAAGAACTGGTTCGACAGAGCTGGAATGTGCGGGATCACAAGCTGTCGAAGTCCACCGCAAGGACCGCGAACGAACCAACGCTCTAATGCTGCAGAAAGATGCTTAATCAGAGCCACATCATCGATATCGTTGCGATAATTCTTCGGAGTGCGCTTACTCCACCGCATCGGTAACGGCAACACCACTGCTTTCATCTTTAAGCAATACTGTGAAGCTGCATCCAGAACTTTCGCCAGATCCCGTCGAGTAAGATACGCCATCTTGGACACGTCGAGCCGCTGTAAATTCGGGCATGAACTGAGCAGCGCCTGCCAATCCACCACCTGCGTCATCTCTGTGCCAACATTTTTTGAAGTGTGTCCGAACAGAGCCACCCGCAACTCTATCACTCTTGGTCCTGCAATGACCACACCTTTAAGCATTGTTGCCTGCTGTTCCGCTGACTTGTGCGAGAGATTGAGCTTGATGGTGCGTTGCTGGTACTGGGCCAGAATTTCACCCAGGAGATCGCGCCAATAGTGACAGACCAACCGCCACTCGGCTATTGTGGCCAGTGGCGTCTTATCAGGTCTCGTGAGTCGTCTCCAACCTCGGCGCTTCGTGGGCAGCACCTTGGCCTCCGATACATTCTTGACCGCGAATGAAAGCACCAACGCCATCACGGCTCGAGGCAACGTTATCATACTTAGACGATCGGCCACGCGCACGCTGGAGACATCGTATAGCTTGGGCTTGGATTGCAGAGGCTCCGCGCTCGTCCCCAAAGCTTGGGGAGCTGCCTGCACTGGCCGCTTGAGCGAGGAGCTCATGACAATGAGGAGCAAGGCGCATGTGGACGGCGGAAATTGCTCCGGCTATACACAACAAGTCAGATTTGCCCTGGGATACAGAATATTAGAGCCAGAAATGAGCTGTGTAAAAGCATATTGATAGTTGAAGTTCAGTTTCTATTTTTCCAGCAACTCGTTCGACCACCAGACCTTACTTGTAGAGTTAGCTTGCCAAGTTCGTTCTTGTAAATATGTTATTGTTTCTAGTGGGGATGTTTGCGGTGGTTGGCAGTCATGCAGGCTATTTCTTCCACCCTCCTGTTTCTTCTCCTTAGTAGCCTACTCCTTTTAGCTAACTTAGGGTACTCCTATATGGCATATTAGTTGATTTTACTTACTGTATTGGGAAAATGAGACGATTTCGTGGTTAAGTGGCCTTCTACTTGACTTTTTCCGGTTCTCCTAGAGAGCCTTTTAAAAACATCAAAGACGCGAGTTCATCATGGCAATCCACTTATCCGACCGTAGCCTTGGTTACTCGTTGGCGCTCCGCGTCTGTCAGTTGCTGCATTACCTCCGAAGGAACGTCGGAGAGACAAGTCCATCCTCGTTTTAAATACTTCCTCAGTCGCTTGATCGCCATGCTTTGGGCTGGCGCGCCAGAATGTAGCGGGTAATAGAACACGAATTGCTTTTTGCCTACGTTCTCCAACGCAGCTGCAAGTGAATCCCCGGCGGTAGGTATTTTCTTCCGAAGCGATTGCTGTCGATTGAGCAGTAGATTCCCGGCATCGCAATCCACACCCGGGTGAGTCTGTTGCAGCACTGCCGAAGGGTCCACGAGGTCGATGTCGATCGAGGAAATTCCGTCTGCACATATTGCAAGAGCAAATGCTGATCCCTTCTGTCTGCCACTGGTAATTTGGACTTGGCGTTGAAGTGCTCCCGGTGTTTGGGCAAGATGTTGTTGAAGTTGTTGCTGTACAGACGCAGTTGTTGTTTGTGGTGGCAGGATCTGGACATCTATGTCATTCGCAGGCTCACCACGGACAACCCAGTCTCGCAGAAAACCTCCATAGATACTTACATCGCACTTCCACACGAGCGCATGCGCCAGCTGCAACATGATGTCGTCGCGTGACTGCCAACTCGGTGGTGCAACACAATTCAGTATCTGCGCGAGTCGCGGATGGTGCTGCATTTCTTGACCATGATCACCTAAAGCCCTGGTGACCAAGGGCAGCATATTGTCGCCGTGCGTTTGGACAATCGACGATTGGATGCGCCCCACGATCACAGGCATGAGCACCTTGGCTTCTCCAACCAGAGTAATCGTGATCTCTCGAGAGGAGCTGTTAATATCCAAGATTCGCATACTTTCCACATGTCGACGACCAACACCGCCCTGCTCACTTGACAGAAGCTCCTGGATATTCTCCTCGAGAGCTTTAATGTTCTGACCACCCTTGCCAATAATTTTCCCCATTTCGACGTGATCGGGCAATTGCAGCGTCACCTTCTCCGGCTCGACTACTCGCAACAGCTTCCTGACTTCAAAATCTACACGAGCGCTCATACGACGTGGACACGTGACGACTAAAGTGTTCCTGTTTACAGTTGCAGTCGCTGCCGGGAACTTGCGCCGCAACTGCTTCAGCCACGCACCGCGATCCATCACGACATATCTCCGGACGCCATCACTGAGTTCCAACCGTATGATCTCTTGCGCTGAGGACTGTAACAGGTCCTTAAAGTCGACAAGACGACACCACTCTGGTGCCCCAGCTGCTACTTCCTCTTCTGTAACATAAGAGATCAATTGCACAGTTGGTTCTGCTCGTTGAGATCCATCCGTCAGCATTTGCGAGCCAAAAATCACCAACCGGCCTACATTCTTGCTCTGAGAGACCTGATCGAGCCATAACGTCGTGTAACTCCCAGCTTTCACGATTGGTTCAGGTGGATCACTGTCCTTGTCGGACGATGATGCCGCCGGTTGTGTGCGCCCAGCAAAGTCGGTCATCATATCAAGAGCTCCATTACGTTTTGCCGAGTCAAGAATCCGTGTAAACCCTGCTGTCGGGATGCCAGGAGTCCGTGTTGCAGCGATTTGATCAAAGTAAGCAGAACACAATGCTCGGCGAATACTAGAGCCGATCCCATTGTTCTGTTCAACTGTATCCGCGTCATCCACCAGGTCGAATTGGAGGCGATCAAGCACCTTGAGCAGATATTCGTACGAGATCTCGGCACTTGTAAACACTTCCTCATCAAATCCACACCCCCGACACCATTTCATCGCTTTCTGCTGTTCCACAGCGCCATAATAACCGTTGATAATGTTCAGCAAAGTCAAATGGTCACCAGACGGGTCAATGTACTCGTCAAATTTCGTGACAAGATGCAATCGTTTACGGTCTGGTAAAAGACGTTCGGCGCCATTCGATGCAGTAATAAGAGCAGCGAGTTTCGCTCCAGTGGCGAGACAGCCGAAGCGACTGCAAGCGATGAGAAATCTTCCAAGTCGTACATCCACACCGAGTGACAATAACACGCCCCCTTCTGGCGTCAAAATACCATTTTCATCCAGTGCTCCTAGCTCGTGTAATCGCGCTTCAGCTCGTTCGAAAAGAGACGTGTTGATTGGATCAATCATCTCCAACCTTTCATTTTGTCGCTGCAAATCCTTGTCAAGTAGCACTGCCTTGTAGATCATAGAATTCTGCACAGCAGGCTCAACACTTCGGCGCGTGCTTGTTTCTGCCGAGGAAGGTGATGACAAGTCTTGGTCCTCTGGAAACAGTCGAATACAGATGCCTGACGCAGTTCGTCCAGCCCGACCAGCGCGTTGCGTCATGGATGACTGCGTTACATGTTCCGTGACCATCTCGTTCACGTCGACAGAAGCGTTCCAGCGCACACGACGTTCAAGTCCTGTATCGATCACATAGCGAACGTTCGGTAAAGTAACACCAGTCTCAGCGACATTTGTCGAGAAGATAACGAAGCGCTGGTCTGGGGGCGGATTCAAAACGTGATCGCGCTGAGCCCGAGATATTTTGCCGTGGAATGCAAGGATACAGACCTTGATATTCCTCATTTTTGATATGGATTTTTTCCGGGAAAACATTCTTTTTGAATGTTCGTTGTCGCCTCTTTGGACATCAACAGCCAGTTGGAAACAAAATACCGTGTCGGAATCAACAACGCGAGCATCCTTCGCTTCTTGACTGTTTGACGCCATCAAGATATCCTGGCGTGCCATCTCCAAGGCATCGTTAATGCTTCCTTCACCTGGTAGGAAGATGAGAATGTTTCCCGCTTCCGTCGTTCGTAGAATATCCATTGCCGTCTGAATTGCTGCTGAAGTGAGCACTTTACCTACGCCAGCAGTGCCAACAATCTGTTGGTCGACGATAACGTCGGAGCGATGCTCAATATGAACCGGAAAAGCGCAGCCAGTGACGGCGAAGATGGCCGAACGCGTCAACGAAGGGTCCAGATACTGTCGAAAATGCTCCGCTTCCTCCTTAATCGTCGCACTTGTCACCACCACACGGAATTTTATATCGGCGGACGTACTTTCACTCTGTTGAAGCTGTCTGAGCTGTCTTAGTGCGCGTTTCAGCAGAGCAAGAGAGAGATCCACGTCTACTGAACGTTCATGCGCTTCATCGACAATAACGACACAATACTTGGCCAACAGTTCCTTCCAATCATGCGCGAGCTGGACAAAAAGCCCGTGCGTCATGTACTCAACGCGTGTCGTGTCCGATACGTTGCTCTCGCCTCGACCAATTAAGTATCCGATCTCTTGTCCGTGAGGCAAGCCCCTCTCTTCAGCAACTCGTTTAGAAAGCGACACAGCGTTCACACGTCGAGGTTGCAGTACAGCAATCCGTCTTGTCTTTTCGTGAGGAAGGATATTATCCATAAAAATCTGAGGGAGTTGCGTACTTTTCCCTGAACCTGTGTCTGCTGTAATAATAACCACCTGGTTGTGCTGAAGAACGTCAACAAGTTCATGTTTCTTCTCGTACATGGGCAAGCAAGCAGCGAATTGTTGACGTTCCATCAGTAGTCGACGCAAAGAGGCTTGGTTTGTTTCATCAGGAGTCACTGGTGTGTCGGTTTTGGTATCTTTGACGCTTTTCTCATACTCTTCGAAAGTCTTCGAGTACACGTTGAGCGCGCGACGAAGTCTTGCAGCCATCTCACGGCAGAAAGTCGCTTCTTTCACCTTCATTGAAGTCTCCATGGCCTTGCGCTTCTCAAGCATGGCATTGTAGTCGTCTTGGATTGCTTGACGCTCCATGTCAAGATCCTGAGAATTTGCAGCGGCGAAATCTACGATTAATAGGGGTAGAACACATCGTGGGTTGGGAAACACGTGGAAACCATTACCAGGGAGAATGGTATTGTCGCTTGAAGACTGGCAATTGCTTGCTATGATACCGCGCAGATGCAGTAAGGATCCCCCTGTTTTTGTGGAGCTGTAGTGATATGCAGCATTAATGTCTGGAGAAGAATACACACCGTCACCGTACGACCGACCAACGAGCTTAATTGATAAGTCAAAGCCATTCAACGCAATAGCAGTTGCACGCCATCGTTCAGGTGTTCCGTGATACAGAGGCTCCGTTTCACCTACAGAAGCTTTAGTTGCTTGGATTCGCTTCAGTTCGGAAATATATTCACTCTCCCGCGCAGACGCTTTGACGCGCCTCACGCTCACAACATTAGACGACATCTCCGCTGGCATTGTGCTCAAGACACGCTGATATTCTGAGTCATTGGGTTGCAGCACTTGTATGGGTGATGGAGGAGCCATCGGAGGACTCGTTAACGACAATTTCCAGTCACTTCGAAGCAAATTGCTGATTAAATCAGCATCGCTAAGTGACTTGAGACGTCGAATTCGCGCTCGTTCACTATCCATGATTTTGTTTACAATGAGTCGGTTGAATGTATGCGCCGCCGTAGTCTGATATCTGGCGAGAAATCGACATATCATAGACGAGATTGGGATCTTCCCCCACGGTGTGCTCACTCGTCCATGGTTCTGCTTTGCTGCTTCGATCAGTGCGTCCCAGGAAAGCCACATCAGAAAGTCATGCTCGGCCCCTCTTCCGATACCGCGGGCTCCCTTCCTTCGTCTGGCATACATTTCTGGTAAGTTATCCGCTCGTTCATCGACATCCCAATGCGAAATGTAGAGCATGTACTTGGCGAATGGAAGCCACAACTCAATACTCTTTGTCGCGTCATTGAGATGCTGTATCATTTCATTCTTTGTGAAATTGCCGCCAACTTCTTCACTAAACTCTCGTGCGGCGGTCTCGACGGGGCACTCCCCATATTCGATTTTTCCACCAAGAAAGTTGACATAGCGAGCCGGGTTTTTGTCCATCGGACGATATTCTACACCTACAAGAACCTCCATGCCTGATGCACCCGCTCTTGCCAGTAACACCCCTCCTGCTTTATGAATGGCTGTGTGTCCTCTGTTCGATCTCGTTTTAGCGTCCGATTGGTCCGGTGTCCAATCATCCGAATTGTCTTGCATTGAATAACATTTCAGCGACGGCCAAACGTTTTCTGAAATCGCTAAATTTTGAGGTGGCCTTATGTTCTCGTTTGAGCAAAAATCACGGCTCGGAGGCAACTCAAGGGTGCAGTTATTGAGTTGCCCTGTGTCCTCAAGAGCTCTGACAAAACAAGAAACTGTTGGGTCGTCAATATTCACGAGTCCAATACTGCGAACGGAGGTTGACTTATTTTCGCAGCAGAAGCGAACGCATTCGTTCACGATCTCGCGAGCACCCAAATCACGAGGGTACCCAAATATTCCAGTTGAAATGCCAGGGATTGCAACAGACTGCACTCCGAGTCGTGCAGCTTCGACTAGAGCATTCCAGACAGCGTCACGGAGTTGCTGGGCATGTTCCGGAGTTGGTTGAGCGGCATGAGAGACGTTGGGACCGACGGCGTGAATGATGTACTTGCACGGAAGTCTTCCACTTGCAGTTGACATTGCAGTACCGACATTTAAGGAGCTGTGGCGACGAATCCAGTCCGAGCTTTCGGCTTGGATGGAAGTGCCACCCTTGTCCACAATTGCGCCAGCCAGACCACCGCCATGTAACAATTGAGAGTTCGCTGCATTGACAATAGCTTCTGCAGTGCTGGCCGTGATATCTCCTTTCAGCACTAGGATTTCCGAGCCAGGCATTCGGCAACGAATTAGCTCCTTGCCCCCCATTACATCGCGAGAAAATGCAGAAGTAGGACCTTGAGAGCTAGGCCGACGTGTGACGGGGGAAGCTTCTTGATTGCTGCCGATAACTGTGCTAAACCGCATTCGCCAGAGCGTTGGAATGCTTTGCGAGTGTTCGGGGTGGGATAGCATCATCTACGGTAGTGATGCGGTGCTCGCGCTTTAAATCTTCTTGAACAGACGTCGGGTTTGGTAGCCCGGCGGCTTTGATACAGGCGAGAAGACGTGTGCCCTCGCATTCGTCTCCACCGGGAGGGATCATGGTAGATGCTCGGTGATGAAAGAAATGTGAAATGAATGATATGGTGAGCGGCCTCAGTCGCCAAAGGTGAAAATAACTTACATTCGGGCAATGATACGAATCTTAGTGCGAATGGGTTATCTCAACCTACGGCGTGTTGAAGTTCTGTGAACGATATTTTTGGGGGTAACGTGTTCGAACCAAACACAACTACAAGCAAACCTGGATTCAATCCGTTTCAAGGTGTGAATCCGTTTCAGATCAAGTTGCCGTTTCTTATCACGAGAACCGCAGGTCGAGTCGACCGAAATTTTGCCAGCATTCTCTCGTGGATATCATGGCCGCTGCTACTGCAACTACAAGTGCCATTGGTTTAATGTTTTTCAAGTATTCACTTTCATTTTCACATGGGTCATACAATAAATCTGGTTAATATTCGGCCGAACTTATGTCTTGCACATTTCGCGGTTTTGTTCAGGGTGCGATTCCATGAAAAAAAAAAAAACAGTTTCACAGCGATTATACTCTTGTGAATTCTTTTTTTCTTTCTTCGCATTTGTCGAAAGCTTGATAGTTAACCGTTCCGGACAGAAACTACTGCCGTGGGTTGACATCTTTGTAGGAATCCAAAGAAAACAGTCGGATCTTTTTCCTTCTGCATATTCTAGGAATCAAAAAAATTAGCATGTATCTATGTTAGGTTACAGTAAGTCAGTCGGATCCTGGCCTTTGGGTAGTAAGTACCCAATGCACCCAATGACAATATGCCGAACGCATTGGGTGCCAAAACGGATCAAAAATGGATTTTTCGATGTATCCAATGGGTACATCAGATTCTGATTACACATGCAAAACATTGGGTGCCTTCAAAAATGGATCTGAAACGGTTTTATTGAATTTTCTTATTTCCAACTCAATATGGCACACTTCTCTGTCCCACGAATTTATGGCTATTTGACAATTTTCCGCCATCTGTAGGTAGAATTTTGATGCACTGACACCCTTATTCGAAAGCTTTCGGAATAACGGTTCTCCTCATATTTTTTGTGTTGTATTAACGGCAAGTAGGATGCAAATAACAGCGCAAGAGTGGCGCCAAATTGCAGCTGGATAAGGTTTTTTTTTTTTTTTAACTTTTTCGTAATTCCACTCCAAAATAGCGATATTAGATCAAACTTTAACCAGATGCTCCTTTTGGGTATCTCAATACATATCGCAAGCCAAACTGCTCACAATCGCGAGCAAGATCCCTAATTAGGCCGTCAAAGAAGTGAGGTTTTTTGTCCGTTA